AAAAGCTTCACCCTTGTGCTTTTTTTTCCCGACGACTGACAACCTCTGAGCGCAACTATGATGTTGGCAACAGGGAGCTGCTTGCTGTAAAGCTTGCGCTGGAAGAATGGAGGCACTGGCTGGAAGGCTGTGAACATCCATTCATTGTGTGGACAGACCACAGGAACCTGGTCTACATACAAACTGCCAAACGACTAAACTCCCGTCAGGCACGCTGGGCATTGTTTTTTGGCAGGTTCAACTTCACCCTTACCTACCGACCTGGTTCTAAAAACCTTAAACCTGACGCATTGTCCCGGCAGTTTGCAGTGGATCAGGACCCCATAGTTCCTGACACCATAATCCCTGCTACCAGAGTGGTGGGCGCTGTGACATGGGAGATTGAGAACTCAGTGAGGAATGCACAGAGAGACCAGCCAGATCCAGGAAATGGTCCAGATAACCGTTTGTTTGTACCTGACTCTGTCTGCTCACAGGTTCTCCTATGGACCCATGCTTCCCGCTTTGCCTGCCACCCGGGTGTGAATCGGACCCTGTCCCTCCTGAGACGACACTTCTGGTGGCCTTCCATGGAAGCGGACTCTCGAGCCTTTGTGCTGGCCTGCACTGTCTGCGCCCGTAGCAAGTCTTCACACCAGGCTCCTATCGGTCTACTCCAGCCTCTCCCAGTCCCTAGTCGTCCCTGGAGTCACATCGGCCTAGACTTTGTTACCGGCCTCCCGGTTTCACAGGGTAACTCAACCATTCTCACTATTGTCGATCGCTTTTCCAAAGCGGTTCATTTTGTGCCTCTTCCTAAACTCCCCACAGCCTCTGGAACTGCTGACCTCCTAGTCAATCATGTGGTCCGGCTTCATGGCATTCCAACAGACATTGTTTCCGACCGAGGGCCACAGTTCATATCTCAGGTATGGAAAGCATTCTGTCGAGCACTTGGAGCATCTGTCAGTCTCTCCTCAGGCTATCATCCGCAGACTAACGGGCAGGCCGAAAGAGCCAATCAGGACCTTGGAGCTGCACTTCGCTGTGTCACCTCCCGGAATCCCACCTCCTGGAGTTTACATCTGCCCTGGATTGAATACGCTCATAACTCACTGTCTAGTGCTGCCACCGGTATGTCCCCATTTGAATGTTCTCTTGGATATCAACCCCCTTTGTTCCCAGCCCAAGAGGACGAGATCGCAGTTCCCTCTGTCCAAGCCCATCTCCGTCGTTGTCGGAGGATCTGGAAGGATGCCCGCTCTGCCCTTCTCCGCTCCGCTGAACGCAATCGGCATATTGCAAACCGCTACCGGACCGCAGCTCCCCAGTTCCAACCAGGTCAGAAAGTTTGGCTTTCATCTAAAAATATTTCTTTACAAGCTGAGTCTAAGAAGTTGAAACCACGCTTCATTGGTCCCTATGTGATCGAGCGCATAATCAATCCATCTGCTGTTAGACTCAAGCTGCCTCCCTCCATGAGAATTCACCCTACCTTTCATGTGTCCCAGTTGAAACCAGTGTTTTCCAGCCCTTTGTGCCCTCCAGCCATCTCCCCTCCACCCACCCTTGTTATTGATGACCACCCGGCCTACACGGTCCGGCGGCTGTTGGACATTCGCCGCCGGGGCCGTGGGTACCAGTATCTGGTCGATTGGGAGGGTTATGGTCCTGAGGAGAGGAGCTGGGTGTCCCGCAAGCTCATTCTAGGTCCCTCTCTCATTCGGGACTTTCACAGAGACCACCCAGACAAGCCTGGTGGTTCGCCTGGAGGCTCCCGTTGAGGGGGGGGGTACTGTCACGGCCCAAACTGTGTCCCTGTGTGTCCCTGTTTGTTCCCCTGTGTGTGTGTGGAGGGGGTGTGGTTTCCCTTGCAGGCAGCAGCCTGATTGCACTCACCTGGCCGACCGGCTCAGCTGTCCCTCATCAATCCAATCAAGACACAGCATATCTACTCCAGTCTCCCAGCAACTCACCGCCAGATTGTTTTCTACACCAGTGTACGATCCCTCAGCCATCGGCCACCAGAGCTTCCAGCCAACCTGCCTGCTTCTTCCTTCACCATACCTGCCTGCCCTGTTCTCAGTCCAGCCTGAACTGCCTACCTCCACTCCGGACCTCCATAGTCTCCAAACCCGCCTGAGTCTCAGAACAATAAACCTTTTAAACATCTCCAGTCATTGCCTGCGCCTGGGTCCTGTTTAAAACATAATCCTAACATTATGATTATTATTACTTATAAATAAATTGTACAGTGCCCACCTAGAAGACAGGAAGTGTAAAGCTTTTTGCGCGGCTTGTAATTAGTTATCTTTCTATGGCTGAGTGGAAGCAATAGCTTTAATAAAAAGGCAGAGTTCCCCTCCATTCACTATTACATAATCTGAAAGTGACATGAATCATAATTTTTAGAGAGTGCCAGCCAGTGTGCAGTAGTATTTGTTGATCACTGAATGGGGTTACAAAAAAGGAACATGATGCTCATTCCTCTTCAGAGATGCATTCAAGGGGTTTGTTCTCTGACGGTGTTTCCCCTGTTCAAATCTCAGGTGGTTCCCTTCAACAAAGACTGACGTACGACATCAAACAATTATGCAATTGGGTTGAGGGAAAAGGGAATTATTGATGCATAAAATTGATTTTTGTAATGAAATGTAATTGAAACAAGTCGCTTTAGCAGGATATCTCAAGCAATGATTACAAACAAGCTCACGTAGCTTTGTGTGTTCCTGTATGAGGCCTGATGTGTGCGTGACTCATTTATTCACTGTAATTACACTAATGTCTCCAAATGTGTTGCATATGATTTATATTGCTTTAAATGTGCGTGTGTGGTTTGAGACCTGCATTTTCTTTTGCAACTTAAAGGTCCCATGTCATGCTTTTCCGGTTATTACCCGTCCCCTTGTGTGTTATGAAGGTTTATATGCATGTAAACGGTCTGCAGCGGCGAAACTATGGCGCGCTTATACTGTAGGTGCACCGTGTTTGGGGGTGCAGGTGCTAGTGGAGTCTCGCGGATGGGGGTGCTGCAGCCCCCTCAGCACCCCCCCCTTCCCACGTCCATTCGCGATGTCTCGCTGTCTCGCAGATCCCACGCAGCAAGCAGGGAATGAACCCAGCTCACACTGTCCGCTCCTCGCAGCAGCGAGCCGCGCAACGTCCCGCCAACAAGGCACCCAGACCCCACGCAGCATCTGTTTGTCCTTACTGGTGTTATTTTCTGGTTGCTAACGCCATTGGAACACATAATCACTGATGTTCCGCTGTAACGGTGGTGGACTCATCAGAACAGAGTGGGCGAGCTGACCAATCACAGCACAGTGGGCTCAGGGTGGGGGCAGGAGCTCCAACAAGCCGTTTAGGACAGAGAGTGAATACACATACTATACAGAGATGCTGTATGAGAAACCAATGTGAGTTTGGAAAATTGCACAATATAAATCTATTCTAGTAGACCTCAACAATGGAATTATGATCAGTAGAAATGGCCATGACATGGGACCTTTAAGGGCTAGTTTGACAAAATACACACACAAATACAGTCAGATTACAGAATTTGCAAAACTATAAGAGTCCACTGTGTGGTATTATGGGCAACCTACTGTAAACATTAGCTGTCTATCAGCACTGCTCAGCATCATCCTGCGCTTCATTGGCACGGGGGTGTTTGTTTGAGTGGATGGGTGGTTGTGTGCCATAAAAGATGGATTCAGGTATGAACAGCTGGTCCACTTCAACTGGGTATTTAGAGCTCCACACAAACAGTCTCATTAATTGTGATCGAACACCATATTCTGTTTTCACTGTCATCTCCCCTGCTTTCCTCTCACTCTTTTCCTTACCCATATCTCTCTCTGCTCTTTATCAGTGAGAATATTTTTAATTTGAGGTGAGTTTCTCGACACAAGGGACTGAGTTTCAAGAGTAGGGTTCCATTGCACTTCAGATTGCAGATACATCAGCCATTTATTGAGGTTAATGTCCTTCATGTTGCAGCCTACACTGGTCTTTATCTGGCTGAGGATCCCATCAGCCTTTGTGTTAGTGTGTTAAAAGCCACATTTTTATCGCCAGTGGCCAGTGAGAGCGATTTAGTGAAACAGCCAGAGAGTCACCCCTTGACCATTTGATTTGGCTTTCATTTGTATTATCTGGAGTTTCAAAAGTAGATGATGGGAGCTTAGAGCAGTGGTCTAACAACCAGAGTGTTGACGGTACAAGCAGTCATCATATCCAACAAAAAAAACTGTTAATATATGCTCTTAAAAAAAAACGTATTTTATAAGGTGTCCGTCATCTTTCAGCTCACTGGGTTTAGTTATATTGCCTGCAGTCTGTGATTCAGTTCACTCTCACAGCTCTAGTCATATTGTGACAGGAACCCACTGTGAACTTTCTGCTGCTCTGATAAAGAGAGGCAAAGTCAGCGAGTGTTTCAATTGTAAATGGAAAATGGACTGTATTTATAAAGTGCTTTATCCTTGTCTTAAGACTCCTCAAGGCGCTTTTTACATAAAGAAGTCAGCGTTCACCCATTTCATATGCCATAAAGGAGCCATATCTTTTTCTCAGGGCTTGGTGGAGAACAAAACAGAGCTAAAAGAAAGTGAATAGCGGACTTGCATTTGCCGGGTGATCAGATATACAACTACTAATACATGTTGATGTTGCTCCATCTCTGTTAGATGTGAAATATGCAACTATTAGCTCAAATGTGATCATGATTTAAGTGACAATGTGTGTGCTGCTCCCAAGTGTCCAAAACGAATTTATAGCAGTTTTCATGCTTGAAGTCTAAAAACACAACATATCTTGGTAATGTTTACTACTACCAGTGTTAATTAATCATATTCTTATTTTGCTTGTCCAGATAATTGCAGTGCTATATACACAACATATATCCATGGGTTTGTCTAAGAGTGGATAAGCAGGAAAAACCACAAGAACACCACAAAAAACCTCAGGAATAAAGTAATTACCTTAGGTCATCTCACCTCTTCTTTGCTTTTCTCTTGCAGACAGCAACTTCATCCTGGCCAATGCACAGGTTTCCAAAGGCTTTCCTATTGTCTACTGCTCCGATGGCTTCTGTGAGCTTACAGGCTTCTCCCGGGCCGAGGTCATGCAGAAGAGTTGTGCCTGTAAGTTCCTATATGGGCCAGAGACCAGCGAAAGCACCATCCTCAGCATCGACGAAGCCCTGGAGGAGCGAAAGGAGTTTAAAGATGAGATCACGTTCTACAAAAAGACAGGTAAGCTCGGGGATGCCAAGTCAGAAAGTAAAACACAATACTATAAAACCCAGGTTTGGTGGCTTCCTGAGCCATTTAGCAATTACATTTTTAGAACCAAGGCAAGTAGAGAAGCCCAGAAAGCCATTAGAGAGTGCACAGACAGTGATTACCATGTTGGAAGTTGCCTGTGTATTTCCATAAATGAATGGCAGTTCTCTGTGGCTATTTCTGAAGAAGTCACATTTAAATTGGCATAGATGGACCCATGGATAGATGAAGGGGATGGCAGAATTAATGGATGTATAACTTTTGTACTTGCCCATTGTCATTAAAAGGTGATTAAACAAAGCAATCAGTCACACAAAAAACCCAGTTATTATTTAACGCTGAGACGCATTAAACTTTCATAGCTGTCAGATAGTGGCTCCTTAACCCCGTCTCCTTCGATTACACTGAGCCCAGCAGCGAGCCGTGGGGTGGCATGGTTGGGTGTGTGCCTCATTGATAAGCCTGCTGGCCAGTGAACAAAATGAAGTCAAAAATAATGAGCACGTCTCGGCATCAGCAGATACATTGCTTGCTGTGATGTGGGATGGTGCCATGTGCCCTTGCACGGATATTGCAGAGTTTGCTCCACTTTTATGCTTCATGTTCCCTTTTTTTTTTTTTTTTTTTTTTTTTTAAATCAAGCTGGGGAGCATTTGTGTTTGTAAAGCTGCTCTGACACAAATCAAGGGAAATCAGTTTGTTATACCGTATCAGCACTGCAAGCTTTCACAAAACTGTGGATTAAGATTGAAAGCTCATTCCCGATTTTGAAACATGTTGATGAAATGGTTTCATTACAAGGTCCCTTTAGTAGCTGTTTGGGAACTCTTGATCACTCCACACAGAAGTTTGTTTTTGACAAGTTTGGCATTTCAATCTCAGCTTTTGTGCAAACACAGACAGAACATAATAAACATGCTGCAGAAAAATGGAAAGGGTTGCAATTGTATGACAATGAGCAAACTCCAAGCCTGATGATCAGACTGATGATGCACACGGCACTGCATGAGGCTGAAGTTGAAGTGATTATTTCATTAACATTAACAGGATAAAAAAGGAAATGTAAAGCTTTCCACAATTGTTCTTTTTAAAATAAATAAATCATAATGTAATAAAAATAGAAATTATATTTATAGTAATTATAAAGAAAAAAAAACAATTTATCTTCAGATCAGAAATCCTGATCCCACAGCGGGGAAATGTATGCAAAAGTTGAATTGTAGGTCTTTCTATCGTTATCATGAATGCTCCTCAACACATGCATTTTTTACCTTTTAAATACTTTTCGCTGTACAAACACACTTTATTTATTTCATATTAATCATGTCATGTTACTAGATTCAATGCATATCCTGAATCTCAATAAAAATGAGAAAGCAAAACAAATCTTAATAAAAACTACTACTGTAAATCAAGCTGGGAGATTGCTTTGTCAACATCTGTGAGGATTGTCTATGTTACTGTATGCTATTCTATATATGTCTCATGCAGGCATTATGGTATGTGCATGATTCAGTTGTGTGCCACTTTTCAGATTTTTCTTTGATTCATAAAGCAGATTTCGTAGATGACTCAGAGCAGTTTGCATAGGCACAGCTCAGCTAATACCACCACAGATGTGACTGTCTACACCACAGTGTCTCCTTCTTTGTTGTATTTTCTGTCACCCCCCCCCCGCCCAGCCTCCCACACACACAGATCTTTTCCTATCACTTTCCCCATTTCCTTTTGTTACCTTTAATCTGTCTCTCCTTTCACCCATCCCTCTTACTTTTTCACATAATGTAGAACATTTTGTGCCAGTTTGTTTGTCTGTCTCCCATGCCTACAGTATTTTGCTTTCTTCCCCTGCCTTTGCCTTTTCATGTTGTCTCATCGCGCTCGTTCTGTCTGTCACAGCGGAGTCCTGAAAAGTAAACGTAGCTGATTGACTTGGTTTCTCCTCCGTCTGTCAGTCGGAGAAAAGAGGAATCTGTGTTCTCGCAATCAGGGACGCTCTTTTCTCTCGCTGTGTGCTTGAAAGTGCTGCCTCGTCTCACAGGCATGCAGATATGCAGATATTCACACACACACACACTCACACACACACACAAAGAGACAAAAACACTGATTGAGTCATCACCAGGCAGGGAAGATTTAAGCAGTGAGGGGAGGGAACTCCGTGGGAAATCCCTCTCCATCAGCAGTTCATTTGAATAGAAATGAATGGAAGGTGGATCATGACCTTGAACACATTGAGGAATCTATGTGATAACAAACATTTAAGGGTAAAGCTTGAAAAGGTGAAGAGCTAAAGAGTCGAGTTGACCTATAAAACTGGAATTCATTTAATCATCAATCAAAGACAAAACATGAAAATACCCTTATGCCCAAAACTGCCGTGCATATGCCACAGCATGATGTGGATTAGACTTAATTAACTGTGATTAATTAATTAACAAGGCCAAAAATACTCAGACGCTCTAGTCCTCAACATTCGTTCCTTTTACATGAACATCCTTAAGAGATTAAAAGTTGGTACAAGATACAGATCATATTTAAAAGGTGATAAAGGAAAGGAAATTAAGTAGCACCACATAAGTTATTGTTTCCTTATGGGTATTAGTTGTGAGCACAGAAGTTAAAAAAGGAATTGGGGATCTAAAAGAAATAGATTAACGGTCGAAACAGACAAAGAAACAACACTTTCATATAGAGAATAGTGTCTAACATCTGAGACATCTGTTGAGAATTGATAAAGGGGTATGCAAGTTACTCTCTTAAGGTAAGTGGCATGTGAAAAACAAAATCATACAGAAATCCGCAAAGACTCACATGCAGACAGCACACTGTAGCCTTTTTACTAACATGAAGTAAAAAATCTATTCTTGCACAAAATATATAAACGTTAAACTCTTTCAATGACCCATGTGTATTTTCAAATACTTTTTAGGCATTGATTTGTGACCATTTGACTGCACCGTAACATATTTTAACACACTACTGACATATGTTCACCTATTTAAGTTAATATGGAGAATTTGTTGGTGAACAATTGCATATTAAATTCACTATACACATCCAGCCAACACAGAAACATTAGCATTATTGTGTGTGTTTATGGACCCTGGTAAATGGTGGATTAATGTATACACTCCCTTGTTAAGCAATACTAACTAACTAAAGGTAAAAGCAAATCTGTAAATTAAGTTATATATTGTAGTATGAAGTTTCCTCTCAAAATTAATGAATCAAACTTTAAAAAAGTTATGTCGTAATAAGCCCTTAGTACACTAACACTGCTGCAGAATCAAACATGCTGACCTACAGCTACTCTGAAAAAGCAGTCCATTTAGCAGGAGATGGGGCCTCAGAGATGGGTTCATCTCTTGCTGTGCCTGGGGAGCAGCGACATCTATGGCTCTGCTTCTCCTCAGGGACTTACAGCTGTAGAAAGGCTCACTAATAATTCTGGGGATCTGTGAAACTTTTGCTATACACACACCCCTTCATTCATATATATCAGAGATGGTGTTTAAAGGGTTAACAGTTTTCTTTCTCTTCCAGCTGTTCTGTTCTGGTGCCTGCTCGACATTGTGCCAATTAAGAATGAGAAGGGAGACGTGGTGCTCTTTCTGGCTTCATTTAAGGACACCACTGACACTAAAGCCAAAGCCATCCTAGGGGACAAGAAGGAAGGTCAGTGTGTAAATATTCATATGTGTATGTATGTAGGATGTATGTAGGATGTGGGTTGTTAATGTTTAAGCGATTCTAATCGTTGCTAAACAAGAGGATTGCACACATGTTATAAAAATAAACTTGTTTACCTCTTTTTCGGCATATGGATTTTGGTAATATAAGGGCCATTGCAAACTACCACAGCACAGCGTTGGCACTTTTTATAGATACAAATCAATCCTAAGGCTCGATTGAAACATGACATTGTTGTTATTAACATTACACGAAGAGGCAGTTCAGCCTGGTTCTAGAGAGGTTGTACATAAGGAAACTATATGCAAAGATTAATAAACAATTCAAACTTTTTAAAAGAGTATGAGAAAACAACAACCAACCTTAGACAACAACCGTATAAGTTGTAACTCATCCACCCAAAGATGAACAAAGCATGTGAAGCTTATACCTCTTGAATTTAAACATGAAGCTCCTCCTACAGACAAACCAAGTTAGTGCAAAGTTAAACCAATTACATTCAAAGTCAAATATCTTTGTAAAACAATAAAACACTTTCTAAATCATTATTCAAACTTTCCCATCACAAAAATATAATAAATATATATTGTTTTGAGTACTTAAAACTACAATTTTCGTTGTCGACATGTCGTTGCAGTAAATTAAAGGGTGTTTCATGTTGTCGTTGCTGTGGACCTTCTTAATCTACCTTCTTTGGGGGCCCCCTTCTGGTCCAAGCACTTGCCTGCCTTGCCTGTCGGTAAACGGCGCCCCTGTATACACACACACATTCAATACATACATACAGTATGTCAAGGTAAACTTGCGGTTAACTTGCGGTCTGCTATGCGTGTCACGCTCGCGCACACAAGTAAATATATATGCACGTTCATTCTCACAACGCGTCAGACACAAGAAGTGCGTACATGATGTACATTAATTTATCAGAATCAGAATCTTTTTTTTTTTTATAATTTTTTTTTTTTTTATAATGGGACACAGGGCTCGGTGCGGATTGATTTGCAGTTCGGTCCGGATCCGGACCTTGGTCCGGAGTTTGAGAAGCCCTGCCCTAGATTATAAAGACACACCTTTGTGTTATCGGGATTAATATTTGTTGTAATATTTGATTATATTTGAGAATTTGGTAATCTCTTTGTAGGTTACCCAGTGAAATGTCTTCACCTCACTTTTTTGGCCTCCAGTATTGTATTGTCAATTATTTTTTGTCGCACAGAGCATCTAAAGGAAGCAAAGTTGCAAGTAATCATGTCCTCAAAATCAATTTCCTCAAAGCTTTACCTGAAGGTCAAAACCTAAGCAAAAGCCACCGTCAAAGCCTGACAGAAGGTCAGTGTGTGTTTGTTAAGTCAGCAAACCAGGCTCTCATCTCAGACCTGCCTCCTCTGGATATGCCTTATTACTCTCATTGAAAGAAGAGAAAACAGGAAGCATGCAGCAAAGTAATTTTTTAAAAGGATGATGCAGCAGCATAGACTGTGAGTCTGCCCAGACCCCTAATTATGAGTCTGGGTCTGACAAGCTGCTCTAAATGAGAATATGTGAATTTTTCTAAACGTATGCATTTTTATGACGTTCTCTGTGCATATTTGGAAAGGGGTGTACTCGTTTGTTTGTTTAAGTCAGTTAAACCTGGCTTGTGAAACATCAGTGACAACGTGCAAAGAAAACAATTTTATCCATAATTGCAGCCATGAATAAAATAATTTAAATGTGTGTCTTTGCATTACATAAATTCTCCTTTTTGGAACGATACATCAATTTAAATACATATTCTTGAATACTTTGTACTTTTGAATATTCCTCAGACAATCCTTTTGCACAGCTATTACAACTTTGAATTTGTATGTATTGTAAATGTGTTTGAATTTTTCATTAATTGTGTTTTTCCCATTTTCTGTGTATGTTTCTTGTACACATTCTTTGTAACATTTGTTTCGAATGTTTTGTTTTGTTTTATTATATAATATACAGTGAGTATTTGTTTCTTTTACGTTTGGAAAAGTTTGACGTCTTTGGTAAACGGCAATTGAGATAACATTTCCAACAAAATTGAAATGTTTGGACTTGAATACATAAGGAACACACTAAGGTTTGATTTTGCATCAAAGCAAATTCCTGGTTTTTAATTCAGAAAAGAGCATGTCATCATCAATGGAGCATTTCTATCCACACTGGGGAAGCCTTTGAAGGACAGACACACGCCTCAGATGTGACCCAGTTAGCTCCTGGTCAAGACAACGTAGACAATGTTAGCAAAAAGGGGGAAACCCAGTCTCTCGCCTATCTCCTTTTTCTGTCCTTTCCTCACCCCATTTTCTCTCCATAATCCCTGTTTCTCATCTATTCCAGCTGCTTTTACAGTAGACACCAATTCCCACATCCGCTATCTGCCCTACATGCCTTCGGCGTTCCCCGTTTTACACATCACCCACCCCTCCCCACCTATATTCCCCCGCTACCCCTATAAGAAGCGCTATAAAAGTGGAGGGAAATTCATTAGATCTAAAAATAAGCATGTCTCTGTCTCTGTGCTCCTGCCGTGTCGCGTCCCCCAAGGCTGCTCTGTGTTATGGATGGACCCTGTCTGTTTGCATCGTCTGGGGTCCACACACACAGACACACACACACCCACACCAGGATGCACACACTTTCCAAAGGACACTCAAAAGCAGTTATCACTTCCATTCTCCAGCTTTGTTATTGCCATTATCCCCCCTCAAGCCAATCTGGCCTTAGTCCTTTCCTGTGGGTTCACAACAGAGAGAATGGGGCTCAGCAATAAAGTGCCTTCTCCCATTATCCATCTCCTCACTCGGAACACTTCACTCCTACACTATCTGCTTTATCTACAACTACAATACTCTTGGAAGAAATACACAAGCACACACACACGCACGCACATTGCAATCTAACACAGGAAATCTACTAAACTTGACTGGCTCCAGTAGAAACTTATTAAAGCTGGAAAATTGCAGTTTAGCTAGAGAAAGTGTTTACACAACAAAACATCAACTAATATGTATAGCTGAATAATGTAAGACCCAACAGGATACTTGACTTTTGAAAAAGCAACATGACAGTTTTGCTTAGAAATCCTGCAATTTACTCAGAAAGACATCCTTCCTGTTGAATATTCATGATTCCTCATTCAGAACCGAATATTATGTATTTCATCAAGCTTAATGACTGGTTCACTCATCAGGAGTTAACATTGGGGGGGTAAAGTATTGCAGGGGGGATGTGTACTAAGCTTTGTGTGTTTGTGTGTGTTTACAGAGCGACGGCGCGGCAGGGTGAAAACAGGATCTGCATTCAGCTCGGCTCGTATGCGGGGAAACACGGTGCTCTACCACATCTCTGGTCACCTCCACAGCAGAGAGAAGGGCAAGATTAAACTCAACAAGGTATCAACAACAGGGCAGGGTGTAATGTCATACCAGGGCGTTCAAAAAGGGTGAGGACAGTCATACAGGGAGTGAAAAGATCAATGCTGTTATTGAAGTGTAGTCGACACAATGGAAGTGCAGGGAGCAGAGCAGAACTATTGTGTCCAGGTGGAGAGGGTTTACAAAGTGAACAAAACATGTTGTACCACCTGATGCTCTTTATTAGGAACTGCAATAAATGAGAAATAACACATGTTCTTTGTAACATAAATGTAATCCCATCAGATGTTTTATACAACAGATATAACAGATATTAGGATTCCTTCGGACTGGGTGATATGGCCAACATATTCTATTCGGTAAAAAAATTACATATCTAATTAAATGTATACACATATACACATATCACAATTTTGTATTTTTTTCTTCTGGTAATTCAGAAGACTCAACTCAAGGAATATAAATGATGATGTTGAAGTATCAGCTGACCCTAGTATATGGTTCAACATCGATGTAATTTTATTAAGACATAATGGGTGTAGCTATATATAGTGTTATTTTTATGTAATTGGCTCCCACTTATTTTAAGTATAGCGCACCCTTCTTCCACACACACAAACATGTAGCCATTGGAACTAGAGGCCACACAAAACAACATCTAATGTAATTGTTGACCACATATGCAACAGGTCATTTTGACAGACTGTCCTATTTTCTTACCTTGTCCAGAACGTGTTTGGGGACCCGCCGGCCCTGCCAGAGTACAAGGTAGCAGAGGCCAAGAAGTCCAAATTCATCTTACTTCACTACAGCACGCTCAAAGCTGCTTGGGATTGGCTGATTTTACTGGCCACGTTCTACGTTGCTGTGACGGTGCCGTACAACGTGTGCTTCATCGGGGACGACGACGACCTGACCCGCAGCACGACTGTCAGCGACATCGCCGTGGAGATACTCTTCATCATAGGTTAGTTGCAGAATTACAATTTCTTTATATAGACTATTATCTAGTTTAACGTTGATCTGTTATCGTAATAATCTGGATTCAATAACCAACACCTAACTCGATTTGTCTGTCTTTCTGCCAGACATTGTTTGTAATTTTCGCACGAGTTACGTCAGCAAGTCGGGCCAGGTGATCTTTGACGCTCGGCAGATCTGCATCCATTACCTGACCACATGGTTCATCATCGACCTGGTGGCCGCGTTGCCCTTTGACCTGCTCTATGCCTTCAAAGTCAGCGTGGTGAGTAGCCATGGCCCCCCTGGGTTTAACACAGAGCATATTTGGTGAGCAAAAAAAACACATTCAGATTGCACATTGAATAGATAAGAACCAAATCAGAGAAGGGAAGTGAATACAACCACATCGAATAGTATTTAAGAAAAATGTCAATCTTTGGGATGAATGGATTACCCTATCAGTTCTTGGTTGCTTATAAAGTACATCACCTCCAGCACATTTGACTTTTCATAATAGATTGCATGGAGCATTTTCCAATGCTGCTTGATTCTGTGTATTGATTCCACATACTGTACAAGGACAGAGAAAACAATCAAATCTGTATCATTAAAACCAGTGTCTGTTCTGATGGAGACTCACACATGGTCCCCTTAAGAATACTTGAATGGAGGAAGAATCAAAGATCTGCAGCAATTAGGCGGACGTTCTTGTCTCGTCCATGGCTGAGTGATTTCACCCAATGGAAGCACTACTACACAATAGGGAGGTTTTTATTGGTGGCTTATGGCTGATTTTTGCTTTCTGTGTTTAAGGAAAGATATGGTGTTAACAGGCCAATATGCAACATTGGATTTCATGCAATTGGTAGATATTTAAATTGTTTATTGGAATCCCCATTAGCGTATCTTTCTTACATGGATGAGTGTAAAAATGTATATATTTACAGTACAAGTACAACACTACTTACGCACAACCCACAATTACATTAGCTTTACAATACACTGCAGTTATCAACATTAGATATACCGAAATGTAATTGGACAGGATTTAATAGATGTATACAACATTAGGCACAACACACACAGATAATTACAGAAGGAAATAAGTATTGTAGTACTTATTTACTTATCTGTATCTGTATGCTATTTAATCAGTGAAAGACTAAAATTAACAAAGTCTCTTTTCTGAAATTACATTTCAAAATAAGGCTCACAACAATCATGACAACACAATAAAGGAAGTGACAAATTGCTTGATATTTGACACAGTTCATTGGATTAAATGTGTTCTAATTCTAGGAAACAATAACTTCCCTGTAGTAAAATATATCAATAAGTAAAGTGACATTTATGTAGCGTATGTGCTTTAAATAGATAGAACAACAGATATGAAAATGGCAATCGAAGCCATAAAAAGGAGGACAAATTGTTAGTGCTGCTCCAGGCAAAAGCTTCCTGTTTGGTTTCAGACTCTATTAATGGAAAGACATTAATATGCCAGTAGGTGCAGATTTGGGTAAAGGGCCAGTGGGCCACATGTTCCCCTGCCGCCGCCTGGCAGAGCCGGAGGATCCGGTTCGTTTCTGATGTCTCCTCTAAGGACGGAGCATTCAGGCTGATGTCCCCTTTGAGGACATCATTTACCAAAATAAGCCAAGGGGCCTCAGCACGGCGTCTCCCTGCTGTTGGTCTACCTTTTCGTTTTTGTTGTGTCCCATTTCTGCTTCTTCTATCAGGTGAACTCATTTAAAACCTTCCTAAACGTTTTGCCAGGTTTCATTTTTCGCAAGTAAATTTGTTTTATGAGGGTTTTCAAGTTAACTGACAAAACCTTTTTTCACCTGTTTTAAAGATACAAAAAGAGGAATTTAGAGGAAGATTATCCTGGTGTAACCTTAGAAATTGGTCACCATATTTTGTTTCTCATTTCCATAGTACAATATGTTCTTTATTTCAGTTCAAGTTTTCCCAATTACTATGATTATCACCTGATCTCAAGTTTTTCCTATTTTTGGAGAAGTACATTTTCACTGTCTCTCTATACTTCCTGTCTACTTCTTAAGTTTAATTTGCATTACAAATAACTGGTTAATCATCCATATTTCATATTTTGAAGACACAAATAATATTGAAAGAGTGGTCAGTAATAAGATAATGCAAGTGTAACCGGTGTCGTTAAGCGTTCTCTGCGTTGTGTTTTGCGTTGTTCATGGATGACCCGAGCCAGCATACAGTTTTGACGATCTCCGTTTTATTACTGACAATCTGACAAAAGATGTAACAATCAGTCTTATATTAGCTTTCCCTCACAGTGACTCCTCTCACGTGGAACATTTACAAAAAGGGAAGAGGAAACGTGAGGGACACAATATATAGGGGGGGAAGTCCTCACAACAATAATCACCTGAGCACAGCGACCACACTTCAGAGGTTCCGCCCACTGATCTCCGACCTTGTCAGGTATTGAACATTCAATAAAATGAAGAACACAGAATTACTTAAAGGGGACCTATCATGCAAAATGCACTTTTGTACGTCTTTTATACATGAATATGTGTCCCCGGTGTTCCAGGGAACTCACCAAGTGTCAGAAAACACAACCTTCTCTCTTTTCCTCCATACCCAAATCTCTAAAAACGGGGCTGCAACGGATCTGATACAGACTGATCCAGATTTGAACATTCCTCTGACGTCAGGACGGCGGAGCTGACCTATCAGGGGAATGAGGTTGCCGTGGCATGGTAACAGCATGGTAACAGCATGGTAACACGACGCTCGTAACTCAGCCCCCTCCTTTGCAGGGGGCGTGGTCAGCTGCAGCGCATGCAAAGACAGGGTGGAGGAGAGCAAAATACAGTGAAATGAGGCATGGCTGAAATGCATGATCTGTTTGGTATTTTGAAAAAGAAAACGTATAAATATACCTTATATAGGTATGGCCCTACAATATATTATTCAAATATAGTATGATAGGTCCACTTTAATATAAAACACAGAATTTGTGTGATTATACAAAATGATTTAAAAATAAACCCCACTGCATATTTACAACTGTTACACAAGCACTAGTCCCCTGCAGTGATATAATGTCAAAAACAGCAATTTTCTCGCTATGCTTAACGGCTACAGTTATTGTTAAAGCTCCTGGGCCTGGAGGACTATAGGAAAACATTGTTATGCATCCTTATTTGCTCGATACCACTCCATCAATAAAATACATGATCAGTGGCTTGGATGTGATTGGTTTGTAGCACTAAGAGCGAGGCTGCAGGGGGAGAAATAATGAGCATTTCTGTAAAGTTATTGTTGCATTTGTGTTAAAAAGCTGAGGGCAAGTAAGTTAATCAAGAACTTAAATGTAAACGTCACACCTGATCAGAGGAGGAAATGCGAGTGTCAGAGGTGAGATTGAAGTGGAAAAGTTGAAGGGGAAAGTAGAAAGAGGTGTTGTTGGGTACACTGCTTACACTGCTCGTGGAGCTGAGGAGAATGGGGCGTGGCGCAGCCTGCTCTCTCCATAGGTGGGATGCCGGATGGTGATAGATGGTGGAGAGGAGATGGAGCTTCTCCCCAGGGCTCGGCAGGAGGCTTCATTACCCCTCATGCTGCACCACTTCTATATTTCTCACAGCAAGAGTGTGCAGGAACCGCCATAAAACACCAGAGACACAGAGAGAGAGGATCTGACTGTCCTGACATCGCCTCCTTTTACAGTAGGATTTGTTCAAACGCTCAGATTGTTTAAACCTCTCTCTTAACACACACACACACACACTCTTTTTTCTCCTTTTTTGTCATCAGTCCTTTGTTGACTATGACTCACATTCTCCATTTAGCTATAACATCATTTTGTGTCTTCTCTACAAAATCACTGTCTCAACAAACTCCCCCCCCCCCCACACACACACACACACACACACATCTATTATTGACGAGGATGTAGGACAAGGAGGATGTTTGTCACCTTTTTATTGGGTGTGTGTGTGTGTGTGTGTGTGTGTGTGTGTGTGTGTGTGTGTGTGTGTGTGTGTGTGTGTGTGTGTGTGTGTGTGTGTGTGTGTGTGTGTGTGTGGAGAGGTTGCACAATGGATGACCATCACATCGACAGCACACGTGGTTTAGGTGTGAAAGGGAACATTTGGGGGGATCATTAAAGTGTAAGTCAGTCGAGGGGAGTGCAGCAAAAAGCTTAGATATGTTATTGTGCGCAAAGACAGAAAATGGAGATGCTGGGGTAGAGAAATACTGTGAGGATTGGAGATCAATTAGCAAAACAAACACACCTGTGAGCTAGCACCTGATTGCTCCATTTGGTCATTTTATAATCAAGGACTCCTTCATCATGAAATGAGTTTCATATGGGTCATATTGTTGATGTGTTTGCAAGCAATTGTCAAATTCTAATTTTAGAATCTGAGAGAATTTGAGAAGCCTCTAATTTTGGAGAGACCATTAAGCACCGTTAAGAGCTTTTTATCACCAGGCTGTGTGTGTGTGTGCGTGTGCATGTGCTTTGGCGGTTTATCACTCTTCCCATGAGATGTATTGTCTGTATAAAGGAGGGGAGATGATGGCAGCCTGCTCCTCACATTCATAGTTTCTGTTTTAATCTCTTTATATCCGTGTGTGCTTCTCTGACTTTGCCCTCAACAGAACATCAGAACATCTCCAGAAATGAAAAGGAGGTTATGTTATTTGCAATAGTTGATCCCTGCTTAGTGAGGAACGAAACACATGTTGCCCTCAGGAGCTGTGGTAGAAAGAGAGATGATCACGATACAGTACGTATTAATGACAATTGTCTGTGTTTTTCTAAGCACATGATGGCAATTCCTATGGAAAGGTATACTTCACCAAGGAACCATATAACCATATTGCATATCATTTGATCTCCCTGTGTACCTTGAATTCTTGACACATGCCTCCACATTAAATCAAAACTGAAGAAAAGTCTTACACTATATCAAAACATACATTTAAAAACTTGAACACATCTTGTTCAGTGTAATCGAAGTGTCATTTATCCTGTTGGAGTACGTGTGGATCTGTTTATGCAGTAGTGTATTAAATAGGATTTAAGGACTTTTTTTGGGGGAAAGTAGTGAGCATACAACTGCATAAATTGCACTTGAATAATGCTGCATGAGTTGCGTGGGAGTTCTTAAACTCTGTGAGGTTTTGATAAAGATTCACTGTTGTTAGGCGTAGCCCCCACAACAACAAAAAACTCATCACTACGTTCTCTGTTTTGGGATTCTTTTCTTGGTGCAAGATAAGCAAAATTGGCAGCGGAGGAATTATTGATATATAAGTGATAATTTTGCAGGTGTGGTTAGTATTTCTTTAACAAATGATAACTGTGTTAATGAAAAGATCCTAAGAATAGATTCCCCTTGTTCTTTATCTCCAGGTGTCCGTGGTCCACCTGTTGAAAACTGTGCGTCTGCTCCGTTTGCTGCGGCTGCTCCAGAAGATGGACCGCTACTCGCAGCACAGCACGGTGGTGCTCACGTTGCTCATGTCCATGTTCGCCCTGTTAGCCCACTGGATGGCCTGCATCTGGTACATCATCGGCAAGATGGAGATGGAGGCCAACGCATACAGCTGGGATATAGGTGAGTAAAGGAGCATGATACCATTAGAATCCCAAAACAACTCCCAGCTCTGTTGTTGATGTTTCAAAGTTAAAAGGAGAATTGTGGTGAGACCCATTACGTCAATCCTTCCCATTCATCAAGGGTACTATTAGGCACTGAGTTAACACAGGAAATATGTATTCAGGCTATGTTAGAGATTTTCTGGGGAATGGGTTGTGATGTGAAATGTATGTTTGCAATTTCACAGGCCTGTGGTGGACCACCTCTCATGACACTTCATCTTATGATTCAACATAACACATAAAAACATTTTGTATTTAGATTTAGCAAATCAAATACTTTTGTTTTCTCAAATTACCCCTAAGTTTCACTAGAGACACTTCAATTTCTTCTCCCACAAAACTCCGACATTGTGAATGAACAGTAAATGCCGTTATAGGGGTTTGTAAAACGATGTAGTTGCAGTGAATGTAAAATTCGAAAGTTTCTTTACAAATGTTCGAATCTAAATGATTAGCTGCTGGTGAAAGTTGTATGGCATGTGAAGCGTGCTTGAAGCGTGTGTATGGTGTTGTTTAATGTTCATTATGTTGAAAAAGGAGCACAATGAAGCATCAAGTATGTTGGGTGCAGTTTCATATGGTTTAAAATGAGACATTCTGTAGAAGGCAGGGATTCAACCTCAGTTTACTTGCAGCAAACTTCAAGTGTGGAAGTTCTGAAATAGTATATCTCTTATATGGATACCTATAGCGTGAGCCACAGATGGTTTTGCTCTGATGCACATGTGATTGTTTGTGTGTTTTTTTTACAAGCGTGCAATCGGGGGAAGCCAGATAAAGTGATTTATTTTTATCTGAGGGATCCATTATCTAGCTTTGTCGAGCTCTGAACTAAATCCATACAGAGGAAACACTTGGCTTTAGCGAAGACTATAGGATAAATGGCTCACGGCTTGTTGTTCATATTGAAGCAATTCAAGCTAAAAAGTTGGATTATTTTATGATCACCTGGCATAAAAAAAATGTTGCCTTTTTTATTTTTACATAAAACCGCCCTTAATATCTGGGGCTTGGTTAACGTATCAATACTGTGGTGCATAACAGTTTCATAGCTCATTATTTCCAAATGAACCGTGTTTCTGAAAAGCTATCGATGCGTGAAACCTGCAGGGTTTTTCTCTCAGCAGGTGAGATGTGATATTCAGCTGTAGACCTGTTTTCCATCATCGATGTCATCGCTGTAGGGTTTCAAGCTATTATAGCAGGTGTTTATGTACAACCAGCATTAAATGAAGCACTTTACACAAGTATATAGATGGACTGCAGTAATGACTAAATTAGGTTGTGATTTCCTCATGGATTTGATTGATTGCTAAGTCGTTTGTTAAATAGTTATTGAATGGTGAATCTGAGAGAGACATGAGTTGTTTGTGCTGGCATGCAGGTGCTTATGTGTGAATAATATTGACTCAGCGATGGCGTGAGTCCTCTCGGTATCCCCCTCAGTCCCTAATATAATGAGGCCCCCTGGGCTGGTCTCTGGTCAGTATCAATGAGCTGCACCGCTTGCAATTACCTCGCTCCGAATTGTCTTCATAACTGGTTCCGGGTAAGCATTGACTGGGTCATGACGACGATGCAGATTTCTCCCCACCAATTACTGCATCTCAGTGTCATGGCATAACGGGTCGGGGCATGAGGCAGGATTCATGCGTTGTATCCTAATTATGCGTTTCTGATGCTGAACTGAGTGTTGAAGTCGGGCAGCTATGAGGGGCTTCCATCCAATTACCATTCATCAGTGTCTGCAGGAGGCTCTCCTGGGATCAGCTGGATATCTGCACAATAAACTGACCAGGGATCAGTTCTAGTTCCACAGCATCTGATATGCTTCTACTGCTAAATCCATTGTTTTAGATGTAGCACAGGGGAAAGACCTTCTTACCACTGTTTGCATAACTAGGAAACAATGCTGTCAGCTTTTATCTGCATCCAATACGCTTCACTGCACCCAGCTTTGGGATGATTAAAACAAATAATAATCAGGCACTTGTTGTGATAGCTCCTTTTATTCTTTACTGTATACAATTCTCTGAACAGATAAGGTTTCTTTAAAACTATTTCCCCAAGTTGGGCTCTTAATGACCATACTCTTCTGACATATAGTTGGCCAATATTGGAAATCACAAAAAAAGGGAATAAGTACCAGTTGAAACTCTCCATATCTCTTTTCTTCCCATGAATATCTCCTCTTCACCCTCCTAAAACCAGGATGGCTCCATGAGTTGGGGAAGCGTCTGGAGTCTCCGTACTATGCCATAGGAGTTGTGAACGGGACCAGCAACGGCCCCGCCATCCGCAGCGTCTACATCGCCTCGCTCTACTTCACCCTCAGCAGCCTGACCAGCGTGGGCTTTGGCAACGTGTCGGCCAACACCGACATCGAGAAGATCTTCTCTATTTGCGTCATGCTTATAGGAGGTACACAGAGTATACACATCAGCGAGCACACATGAATATGACTCTCACTGTTTAACTTCAGACAACAGCATGTATACTTTTACTGTTTATCTACACAACTGGTTGTCCATGATGTCTTGTTTTATGCCAATATCAACAACATCAGATTGCAATAGTATTTAGGTCATTAAGTAAAAGCAAAGCCATAGAGATACTCCAAATATATATGTTACTATAATAAGCAAAAATAATCAAAAGTAGAAACTGTGCGGTAAAACGTTTCCTGACAGTGTATTCCTATTATATTTGATGTTTTTGGGGCTGTGATATACTTTTCACATACTGTTGGATAATTTTCTACAGCAATTCATCATATTCTAAAAGATCTTCATTTGTTTGAAGCATCGCTGTCCTGTGAGAAACATGTATCTCCAACAAGTAAACAATTTGTGTACTCAGAAAAACAACTCTGAATAAACCTTTGGAAAAGCCTTTTCCAGCTGATCCAAGAGGGATTTTAAATAGTTTAATTATTTAGCCTGAGAAGAAAAATAATTCTCTCACTTAAAGTGGACCTATCATGCTATATTTGAATAATATAGTGTAGGACCATACCTATATAAGGCATATTTATACTTTTTTTTTTTTCAAAATACCAAACAGATCATGCATTTTAGCCATGCCTCATTTTGCTCAATTTGACATTTTTTAGCTCTGTTTTAGCAAGGGCAGATTCTGTGAGAACAGCACCATCTACTGGCCTTGCATATGTACTACAGCGTCTCCAGCGCTTTCGAACGGCAATGGCCGTGGCTGTCTCCTCCTGATTGGTGGAGTTGGCCCAATAGCCGTAGTGCCACTGTCCTGACGTCAGGACAGTGTTCAAATCTGGATCAGTTTTTATCAGATCCGTTGCAGCCCCTTTTTTAGAGATTTGGGTATGGAGGAAAATAGAGAGGGTTGTGTTTTCTGACACTTGGTGAGTTCCCTGGAACACCGGGGACACATATTCATGTATAAAAGACGTACAAAAGTGCATTTTGCATGATAGGTCCCCTTTAAAGGATAGTGTGATCCAGTTCAAACTGCATCGTTACACCAGGATTGTTTTTTATGTACAGTATGAAGGGAGGTCACTGACGGGGTTTTCCCTGTAGACACTTCCCACTCTGGTTCGGCTAAATGTTAAATGTCCCTGGCTGCCTGGGGGCAGGCACACACACAGACGCATGCTTACACAAACCCACACCCATCCCATCCCCTGTGTATTAACAGGAATTGAAAACTAACACGAAGCACCTGTTCGTATTTATAGCCGAGTATATGTCAACGTGTGGAAGGAATATAATAACTGCAATCCTAAAGAGGAATAATTGGATCTACCTCATACAACACTGTTAACATTCAAATTGCTGTAATAAATGGCACAGGAAAAGGAGTCATGCACAACAGTGACACTTGACTTGGCTTTTAGGTCAGCTGTTGCCGCACAGCTGGAAGCCAAACAAGATTAGGAGAATATATTATCTGTGGGTGAGTAAAAGGCAGGTTTCTGTCATACCAATCAAATCAGATCCACTCAGTCCTGACAGACACTGATGTTTCTGTCTCTGAGGTGCAGAGGTGCAACACATGAATTCTAATGTAATGTGTACCTGGTTGACTGGTTTGCGTGCTTATTTGATTGCAGACATATTTCAATAGGACTAATGTTTAATCATATTCACATGGCAGAAATATTTATTTTAATCAACAGATAAGAAATTAGATATTTTTTTATTTGGGGTTTTTGCAATTTCCACTCAAGCAGTTGTTACAATCAGCCCTTAAATAAATACTTTACCACCAAAATGATTTGTATTTGTAAATCAATTGCTCACCCCATGGTAGCTTGTATTTGTAAAAAACACTTTGTTTTCTTGCATGCCTCCAAAGTGAAAAAAGAATCAGAAAAACCTAGAAAATGCTTGATGTATTTAACCAAATGGGTCAGAGTTAACAACAGCAAAACTATATCAACACACATTTTTTTTTTACAAACCCTAAAAGTTAAAACTTTAGTATTTTAAAACACTTTACACAAATAATTTTTCCATTTCTGGATTCTTTGCTCATCATGGAGGCATGAGAGTAAAACATTCAAGGTAGCACCAGGTGCGTAATAGATAGATTCATGCTTATGCTACATTATCTCTCCTTTAACTCTCCTCTCTGTCTACCCCTGCAGCACTGATGCATGCATTGGTCTTTGGTAATGTGACGGCCATTATCCAGAGGATATACTCTCGCTGGTCCCAGTACCACACCAGAACCAAAGACCTCAAGGACTTCATACGTGTCCATCACCTGCCGCAGACCCTGAAGCAGCGAATGCTGGAGTATTTTCAGACCACCTGGTCAGTCAACAACGGCATCGACTGCAACGAGGTACCACACACACATCAACTGTTATAAATCTTAATCCTGCTTTTTCATTTAACTCGTGTTTTTGACAGCATACAGGAATCAATAATTCATTTGAAGGATCACATACTTCTCAATCCTCATCACCCACATTCAAACTCATCATAAGAAGGACATTATGATCAATACTACATGATCCTTCACAATGTGGGAGCATGATGTTTCCCTGATTGACAAGCAGGGGCAAGAAGAGGAGAACAGAATATTGTATTACATGGTCATTTGTGGCTGACAGGATATGTTTTAACCATTGCAGACCCTTTCCCGGGTTGCTTAAGGTCACAATTGTGTTAAAGCCATGGTAGGCAATGTATTATAGAAATTATTGTTGTCTTATTTTTGGAAATGCTCTAAACATTCCTTACAATTTCCATCTTTGTTGTTTAAACTCATTATGAATATGTGTTACATTACATTATCTTACATGTGAATGAGACAAGAGGTAGTTGGATACACTATGTGATGAATCCCGCTATGTTTCAAATCTAGCTTACTCTTGCTTTTCTCATAATACAATGAATGTATGCAGCCCTGTCTCCTTAAAATCAAGTTCCCATTGACCAAACAGTTTTCTCAATGACCTTTGGAGGTAAATCTTGTTTACATGATTGCAGGACCGCAAGAGGATATTACACTTGGTTTAAAATATGAACAACAACATGGCACAAGGGCAGCTTTTAGAAAAGACAAACAGAGAGGGTGAACAGCGCCTTCTCTTGACAAACCCAGGGAAACGGAGGCAGCCAGTTATTGCCCCGTCCCTGCGGGCTGTGAATGCCTCTTGAGACAGCTGTCAGATCCCAGACCAGTGTTTAGATGGAGCGATGATGATGAATCCCAGACAGATGAATTATATATGGGCCTGTTGATTAAAGTCAGCCTGGCTCTGATGATTCATTGATCCACTCTGTGTGACGGCGAGATCCTGACAAGGAGACTGACAGACAGATGATGACAATATTTTGACTGAAAATAGGGGTTCCCCATGGCTGACGGTTTGTTATGTGGGTAGAAACTGTGTTGATTTATACATTTTTATATGAGAAATACTAGTGAGTCATTTGAACAGATATCTTTATTCCAAGGGTTCAGCATCAAGGGAATATAAACCTTCTACGCCCTAACAACTAGATCTTAGATGTACTGTATGTCCTGGAAGAGGGAAAGACGTTTTTGTTAGAGGTTTTCCTTTTCTGAATCTCTATGGTGTTGTGTGCAGATTTTAATTTTAGGCTGTGTTAATGACTCCACACCAAAGTTTCCTGTGGTACAATAGCTTAGGAATCCAATAAAAGGCAACCAAGGCAGAAAAAGTCATCACTGAGTTGCAGTATGGCTGTGCTTTCACAGCTGTCGTGATCTGCTCTCACTCTCTCTCTCTATCTTACCCTCCCATCCTCTTCACAGCTGCTGAAGGACTTCCCGGACGAGCTGCGCTCCGACATCACCATGCACCTTAACAAGGAGATCCTGGAGCTGTCGCTGTTCGCCTCGGCCAGTCGCGGCTGCCTTCGCTCCTTGTCACTCCACATCAAGACTTCCTTCTGCGCTCCTGGAGAGTACCTCCTCCGTCAGGGGGACGCTCTCCAAGCCATCTTCTTCGTCTGCTCCGGGTCCATGGAGGTGCTGAAAGACGGCATGGTGCTGGCCATCCTGGGTACGATAAAAGACAGGGATGGGATGGAGAGTGTGGTGTTTGTCTGTGTGAAGAAGGAGCAAGAACCCCTCTGTGTCACCATTATCGTTTTACAAAGAAATTCCTATAGCAGCAGGCTTCATAATAAATCTTTGTGCGGCTCATTGCGATGAAGCTAAATTTGCAAATAGAAGATAGAATGGGGGGGATGAAACCCTCTTTAATGGTCACACATGCAGAGCACACAGCACACACAGTGAAATGTGTTCTCTGCTTTTAACCCATCCTAGTACCAGGAGTCTAGTACTAGGAGCAGTGGGCAGCTATTGCACAGCGCCCGGGGAGCAATGGGAGTGGGGGGGGGGGGGAAGGGGGATGTCCGGTGCCTTGCTCAAGGGCACCACGGCAGGGCAGGAGGTGAACTGGGACCTCTCCAAGTAGCAGTCCACACTCCATATTTAGGTCTGTTCGGGGACTTGAACCAGCGACCCTACGGCTCACAGTCCAAGCCCCTACTGACTGAGCCACTGCCGGACCCAAATGAACCCATTGTTAGTGTCTACAGCAAACTTTCAGAGCCTTTTTGTTATAAACTCCAATAAAATAGTTGCATGCCATCTATCTTCCCCATTTTGTGTGCTCTTTAAGAGCACACAAAATGGGGAAGATAGATTCTTAACTGATGCTTCGTTATAATTAAGTGAGCTGGCCGACAGATGTTAAAACAGACAATTCAGCCACTGCAGATTGTGTTAGAGTATATATTATATAGCATGTGTATACCATTCAGAACACCACATGATCGTCCAATTCCCTATACTGGTTAAGTCAATCCAGTCTGGAGATGTCCAGCCAAGTATGGTCAAGTCTTTTGTTCAGCATTGTAATTCAGTCCTGTCCAGTTTAATCTGTGTTTTCCAGTTCAGTCTAGCCCATTTCATCAGTCCAATTCACCGGAGTCAGGTCATTTCAGCTCCATCTAGTCAAGGCCAGTTCAGTGCTGTCTGGTCCAGTACATGAAAGCTATGGTTGAATTCACTTTTTACACGGTACCCAAGGACACATTATTACTGTTTTATCCGCAGTGTTAAATGAATGTTTGGTTTGCTAAGGGAGCATATCATTACAATATAAGCTGCCAGTTTCGACCACAGAAACATAATATAAAAATTTGAAACGTGTGTTTAGTGGGATAACCCTGAAATCAGCAATTCCAGATGGCTGTGATGCTAAAATAGAAGTTGGCTTCTAATTAATGGAGGAATAACTAAGAACATATTTTTGGGTTTCTTTATTCATAGAATTATAATGATTATCATTATTTATAGAAAGAGCCATTGTGCGAAGTTGTAATGAAAGATCAAATAAATGAATTTATATAAGGATGAAACAAAGGACTGCTCGTTAAAAACAGCAGGGGGGTTTTCCAAAATGTAACTAAGTCCAAACTGCACCTGCTTTTGAGTGTGGAGATGTCCCATTCAAAACCTATGCACACACATTTTATAAAAATGTAGGGGTGAAGTAAAAAGACTCTGTTGGTGCAGAACGAATCTGCAACAAGATGGAAACTCTCTCAGTCTGGGTGTATTTCCAACTACTAACATCTGCTGTGTAGCACAACCTCTTGTACAGAGTGACCTTAATGGCTTTTGCTATCTGACCTTCATGACACCGAGTTATAGACCAATCTGGTGTGTGTGTGTGTGTGTGTGTGTGTGTGTGTGTGTGTGTGTGTGTGTGTGTGTGTGTGTGTGTGTGTGTGTGTGTGTGTGTGTGTGTGTGTGTGTGTGTGTGTGTGTGTGTGTGTGTGTGTGTGTGTGTGTGTGTGTGTGTGTGTGTGTGTGTGTGTGAGACTCAGTGAGAGTTAGCGGGACAGATCTGAATCTGGACCTGCATTCATCAGTAAGTCTCTGTCGGTGCAGTACAATCTTTTTCTCTAACTCTGTTATCGTGTGTGTGTGTCTCTCTCTCCCCGTGTGTAGCCGTCCATTGTTTGCTTTTGCTTTCTATTCTTGCTTGTCTCTCCTAAAAAAGTCAGCATATGTTTGGGCCTGTGCGTGAAAAGAGTAGGTGGAAGTGTGTGTGTGTGTGTGTGTGTGTGTGTGTGTGTGTGTGTGTGTGTGTGTGTGTGTGTGTGTGTGTGTGTGTGTGTGTGTGTGTGTGTGTGTGTGTGTGTGTGTGTGTGTGTGTGTGTGTGTGTGTGTGTGTGTGTGTGTGTGTGTGTGTGTGTGTGTGTGTGTGTGTGTGTGTGTGTGTGTGTGTGTGTGTGGAGCAAATCAGTAAGGAATTAAGGAATGAGGAATTGGTGCAAAGGAAGAACGGAAGTTAAATACAAAATGCAGAAAGGAAGGGTAAATGTACCAAAGCTGAAGTAAAGAGAGCAAGGAAAACACATTCAAAAACACCAAAAGAAAGAAGGAACAAAGGAACAATGGAAAGGGGGAAAGGAAAATGGGGGGGGGAAATAAAGAAGGAAGGAAAAGAGGAATGGAAGTGAGGAAGAACGAAACAAAGCTAGCGAGAAAAACGGGGAAAGATAGGGAGGAAATAATAAAACAAAACGCAGAATTAAAAGGACATAATACACAAAGCAGGAAAAAAGTCATGAAGGAAAAAAAACAAGGATGATAGAAGGAAGGGGAAAGAGAAGAGGCAGTAAAGAAGAAATGGATGAAGAACAAAGAGGGCAAAGTGGAGAGAGTGGCAGTTGTGAGGAAAAAGAAGACAAAGGGTTTTGATAAAGCAGGAGAGAGGAATCTAGAAACTGGCTGAGCTGTAAAGGAGTGGACCGAGAGAGAAAGAGGAAGGGGGGAGGTAGTGAGTGAGGGAGGGGGAGAATAAGAACAGTCACGACTGCCGCTCCATCAGCCTCAGTGTCATTGAGCAGCGTTCACAGTTCTCAATTACCATAATGAATATTTTATCAATGCTTAAGGGGCATTAACACTAATGTGGTACTCCGCACAGCTCCGGACTTTAAGAATGAAGAGAACAGGAAACTGCTGTCGGCACCACTTCATTCAAACAGGAAAAACACCTAAAGAGTGAAAGTGTGTCACAGACTATAAACATATATATTTGTTTATTCAGAGTCTACTGAATCGTGTTTTAATTGTGTTTGTAATGTAAAGATTAATGATTGGCTTCCCAACCATTCTACTTGATTTTTTTGCTTTTTCAACTCTGCATTCAGATGACTATTTCTGCATATCATTTTTCAATCATGCAACAAGCGGTGGTAACCGTTGATTGGAAACCGGACATTAGTGTTAATGTAGAGCAGGGGTGTCAAACTCAAATACACAGTGGGCCAAAATTAAAGAATGGGTACTAGTCGAGGGCCGGACTGGTTCAATGTTTATTGCAAAACGTATTGAAATGAACTTATTGCCCATATTAAACCTGGAACTAACAAAGCTTAAATGATTGCCTATAAAAACAACATTAAACATTAAATAATCAGTTGCATTCATTTCTTATGGCTCTATCTGCAGCTTTTCCTGAGTCATTTCTTATGATTACATTTTCCCACAGGCCAACAACAGCTTCAAAAAAACAATTTCCCTCAAAGAAAAAACCAAACATGCCCTGTTGTCGTGAGAGAAAAAGTGCAAAAGGAAACATTGAAACTCAGTTTGCTGCTCTGTGATGCACACTAAACCAGATACTTGGCATCTCATCTTGGGTGCAAGTTCATCAATGTTTGGGGTCAGGCTCTGAGCGGAGGAAATCCTCAGGATTGAGTGAAGGTGTGCGTGCAATATACCGGCGGGCCAGATCTAATAGTAATTAGAAATTATCCTGCGGGCCGAAAATGAAATCCACCACCTTGAGAGGCCTTGAGTTTGACATGTGTGATGTAGACTGTAGAGGATAAAAAAAGCTGTGACAATTAAGGTTATTTCCAGCGCCTCGCTTTTCTTTCTGGTAAAAATAGCTGCAAGAAGTAGATGATGAAGAAGTTAAAGACATCCAAAGTTCCTTCAATAATGTTGGAATGACAGTTTTAAGGCCAGTTTTATTTCCTTTTGTGTGTGTATGTTTGTTCCTGAAAAAGAGATAGACCAAACTCAAGAATAACCTCTAAAAGACATCATTAGCCTACATGAATGACTTTTTAAATAAATTCTTACTTTTAATACCACCTACACCTTCTTTTCATTTCCTTTTGTTCATGTTTGTTTTGTGACCCTGCAGTGAGATCAAAGGTCAGGGGAAGGTACAGACGAGCACCTCGCATCAATCTGATCTAATACGTTTCACACACTCCACACTCTCCTTGAAAAGCTCTTTATTAAATGGAAGATCTGAAACATGATACAGACTGCATTAGAAACTCTGCATCCTAACACCTTTTTCCAGAGAATAAACAACATGTTTATGTGCCCCTTTCTCTGACCTGCCACTCTCTCTGAACAGGTAAAGGCGACCTGATCGGGGCGAACCTGTCCTTAGATGACCGAGTGATAAAAACCAACGCAGACGTGAAAGCTCTGACCTACTGTGACCTGCAGTGTGTGAACCTGAAGGGGCTGTACGAGGTGTTGGACCTCTACCCTGAATACTCACACAACTTCGTCCAGGACATCCAGCAGGACCTCACATACAATCTGAGGGAGGGGCAGGAGACACACGTAAGTCCATTTAAGTATTTATCCTAAATGTCAAAGATGCAGCTGTCTTTAATTATAGTTTGTCTGAGGTGTGTTGTCTTTGCAGATATTCACCACATAATCCACAGCATTCTTTAAAAGTATCAGATCCTTAAAACTGGCTTTCATCTTGATTACATTTCCTTATGAGACCTTATCCCTAGTTAAACGTTTTTAGTTTTCATGCTGCAAGAGGACAATTGTCACGGTAGATTACGTGTGATGCAAATGTTCAGCTAATTTTCAGACAGGTTTTTATATGGATGGATCAGGACAGAAAGAGAGACTTTCAGAATCTCTTAATGCAGAGGGGACACATATTTATGTATAACAGACATGAAAAAGTTAATTTTCATTATATGGGACCTTTAAAGAAATAGTAAAAAAAACACATTTTTGCTATTTTTCCAAACATGTCTCCGCGAAATTGTATTTTTGACTTTTTATAGGATTTTTACCGTTGTTTTAATATTCATAAACCCTGATAGTTCCTGATTTATTTATTATTTTATTGAGAAAACACCCAAACGTAAATGAGCCCTTAGTACTGCAATGCATGATAAGTATTTTATACATACTTGCTTATTTCTCTGTATAGTTAAGGTACAGTAATAATGTGCAAGAATGACTGATGGGTAGGGTAAGAGGAACGAGGAAGGCAAGAAGGACTGTAGTTTGGTGAGGTACTATGAAGAAATGGATTTTGAGGCTGTCTGGAGAAACCAAGGGCAAACAAGCTATAAAATAAGAAAAGTGTATCTTTGTGTGAGAGAGAGAAAGAGGGCAACAATAGTCAGGGTACTTGGAGAAGCTCTGCTGCTGTAATTACACTCAGGTGTTTCTGTCTCGCCAGCCCAAACACCACTGGCCCACTTACACACACACACACACACACACACACACACACACACACACACACACACACACACACACACACACACACACACACACACACACACACACACACACACACACACACACACACACACACACACACACACACACACACACTACATGCCGCAGGGCTTTTAGTCCACCTAATGTGCAGAGGTGCAGTCCCAAACCTCAGGACTGAGTGGAGATAAAATGAAGACTGGAGGAAAGAGGCTGCTCAGGATGGATGATGTGTTTGTGCCCGAGAGGTTGAGATTGCTCGGGTATTACTGCACTACATAAGAGCACAACAACAACAAAAACATCGCTGTATCAAGGTGAATCATTTTCCATCATTGAATCACCATGAGTCATATACTCTTCTTGGGACAGGTTTGTTTTTTTTAAATGACAGCTGAACATTGTGAAAAAAGCTCCTCAGTAAGTTAAAACCGAGAAAAGGAAGGCGACGTCTTGATTGCTTTTTCCTTGCAGTTCATTTTCTGTATATTTCTCTTCCAGGTTAAGGCCAGACTGACCACAACAACTCTGGATACTCAGGTAACTTACTGCAAGCACTTTAGCACACTTAAACATTGATTGATGATCAACAATCTAAAGGCAATATGCCCGGTTGAGACGGGTACCGTTAATTGAAAGACTTGTCAGACGTGTATCACCTCATCGTGTTTGTTTATACCAGCCTGCAACTTAATCAGCCTGCATTGGAAAATAATGAAACTCAATTTAATGTTACACCACGGATTGATTTTTCTATCGCTATGAAAAGTCTCCGGGGCGACCCGGCACTCGACCTCCATCGCTGATAATGGACTCAATCACTCTTTGAGAATTAATAATGAGAGATCTTTTGGTAGATGAAGGATCAATTCTGCACAGGGGTCATTAAGACACTCCTCAGAATAGAGGGTGGTGATGAAATGCTCTTTGAATTTTGAGAAGCTGCACTGTAATACAATATAATAATCTGTAGTCAGATATTTCACCCCAAAAAATCTATTCACCTTCCGGAGCCGTTAACCTCTTGTGATGTTTGCGTCCTCTGTCAGAGTCGGGTCGTGTGTCGTTGATCAATAGGTCACTGTGGACCTTATTTATTTGGTTGATCAGCTTATGCAATTTTGCACAACTGAAGACCCTTGACCGAAAGAGGACACATGGCCGCTGTCAGAGTTCACCTGTGCTGCCGTCATTACACTGAAGGTCACACGTTCGGTCTAAAATGTTGATTTTGGTCAAATGTGTCACTCTTAAAAGCAGCTGAGTGGTCTGTTTTTTGCACTTATAAGTCATAAGAGGATGCTTACGTTTTAAGATACACCTCTGTGTATTTCAGGGTCATGGTATAGCAGTTCAAACACAGCTTAGCATATTCAGCATCTTCAGAGGAAGCAGAAAAAATGAGGTGTCGAAATTTGCTGTGACACACAATACTTATTGTATTATCTCCTCATCAAGGCTGATGCTTCAGATGGAGTAAATCAGCATGGACATATTTACATTTTAATGTCAGCAGAAAGATTGTAGAATAATCATCAAAAGTTCTCCTAGCATCCACACTCAAAGGATGTATTTCAAAATGTTTTCAAATGACAGGCAATGTATATTAGTTGCTATTCTTTTCATGAGTTTTTAAATGATTTTGTTTTCAGACTGTGCTGAAAAGGAACGGACGAGTGGTTCAGGGCTTTCTGCCCATCATAGAGGCACAGGAGGAACATGAGGAAGATGAGGAGGTGGAGGAGGAAGACAAAGCCCTCTCTGTGTCATCGGAGCGAAACCAGGCGGTGAACCTCGGGGACACGGGAGGGAAGACTTTGCTGAGCCGATCCAGCCAGAAAACCACCGAGCAGCCCAGGAGGTCCCAGAGGATCCAGGGAATAACTCTCACCACTTTAGACCCATCCAGCCTCGGCCCCAGGTGGGATTGATCGCCATTGATTTGTCTGTCTGCCTCCTACAGCCTGTGTCTGTTGCAGGTTGATTTCTGTCCATTTTTTGTTTTAGAAATTGTACAATATGGCAACTTAACAATAATAACCATATAATTAATCACTTATTACATCATCTAATAACATATTTGCTTTCCTTCACACATATTTGTGTCTCTAGGATAGTGGATGGCACTGAAGACAGTGAGGGGACGAAGGGTTCCCTGGTTTTCCCTTTCTCTACCGGGCGGGGTTGTCCTGTCAGTGAGCCAACCGGTGCTCCAGCATCTGCCACAGGTCCTCCCATCCTACAGTACTCAGCAATATACCGCTTAAATATTTCCCAATACCATTTACAATCCCGTCAACTCCCAGCTGGGAAGTGAACAAATCTTCCATTCAAATCCCTACTTCACAGTTGTATAGTGAGGGTGATTAATGTGAATGTGTACTTACTGTTAATTCCTACAGTCTTCATCCGATGCAATATCTGCTCGGTGTATATTTGAAGATCTAATTCAGCACTTGAAGTGGTTTGTAACTTGTGATTTTGTGTCACAGATATTCTGCAGATCAGCACGGCAGAGTTAGCAGCTAAAGCAGAGGAGACGAGAGGACAACTGCAACACCTAGACCAGCAGGTGTGTGTGTGTGTGTGTGTGTGTGTGTGTGTGTGTGTGTGTGTGTGTGTGTGTGTGTGTGTGTGTGTGTGTGTGTGTGTGTGTGTGTGTGTGTGTGTGTGTGTGTGTGTGTGTGTGTGTGTGTGTGTGTCCGTGTGTGTCCGTGTGGGGGTGAGTATAGAGAGAGACAGAAGGAATGACAATGAGTCAGAGAGACGGGTGGGCTCAGGTAAGAATGACCATATGGCTATATCAGCAAGTCATGCAAGACAGATGAACGGATTGAGAGATGTAATAAAGCAAGCGTTGTTTAAGGTAAATACTTTAAACAACGCTTGTTTGTTTCATATATGGATGAGACATTGTGGAAAGATCGTAGAGTTTTCATGACTGTTATGAAGAGGACTTACAGAAAATATATATATTTGGTATGTATCTAAAAACCTACTTGTATGTTCAATGAATCTTACATTTAAAAGGGACATGCTTGTTATACTCATTCTCAGGTTCATGTTTGTCTATTTTGGAATTCTTCGAGAACAGTTTACACGCTTAAATGTTTGTGCTTTTCGGATACTCTCTTCCTGAACATACCTTTAATCAACCTCTCTGTGAAACCCCAAAAAGCCCAGTCGGATCTGATTGGCTAACTAGAAAAATATGGTTTGAGTAGTTCTCAAGCCTAATGGAGATACTCAGATGGTGGTATATTCTAATAAACCTGCATCTAAATTATTAAGGGAAGCCCAATCTGAAGTGCCTGTTGAATTAAATTGTCTTTTCCACTTTAATTTGCCACTGTAGTCTACTGGAGGGAGTCCTGCAGAGTTTCTTTTGTATTTTGTTCTACACCAGACATAGTGGGGCCTTGTCAGTCTCATTGTATCACATTTGGTTTTATGGACTTTAGAGGTTTATTGTCCAGCTTGAAATAATCTGTCCACCCAGACTCACGCACACTCTCATGCTGTATCCTATGGTTTTGATTGGCGGGTGGCTAAATTGACATTAGACTTTTGGCAGGTGAGGAGGAGTGTTTGCTTCCTCCCGCTAAGCCTCAGTCTGTCTCCTGGGACGAGCAGATAGAGGCAGAGAGAGAGAAGTAGAGGGAAAAGAAGGAGAGGCAGATACAATTATGAGAAGAAACAGAAAGCAAGAGCGAGAGAAAAAGAAAGAATGTTAGACAATGCCACAGCATCTTCACAGTTGTACATGCTGGCTCTGTTGTCCATTCTGTGCCTCTGTGGGAAACTCAGGAAGTCTCTCAGCATGGTCTTGTAGGTTGTTAATCCTCACTTGGATCCATCTACTCAGGAGATACAAAATGGGTGTTGGTTTAAACCCTATCTGCTTCCTGCAAAAACACACCTTATAAATGATATATGGGGCTATTATGGCACATACAACTTCAAAAATGTCACATGATTTTCAAAAAAAGAGATGTATTGTTCCAAACAGTGTGATTCAGTACTACCTCATGCACATGTTCTCATGGATCAGTTAATGTTCCACTACAGATGCAATTGTGATAACTCATCTGTGGGTAGAAATCCACTAGACGCCACTTCACAAAATGTGAAAGAGAATCTGCCACATTTTCTGCATGGAAGTGTTATTTTTTATTCAACAACAGTGCCAACTCTTTCAGTGAAAATAATGTGACAATGACCTTTGGAGAACTGTTTCCGTACCTGGGAATAGAAAATCACAAACGGCAATTTTAAACTTGAGAGCCGAACAACACAACTGGAGAGGTTAATGTCTTTGCTCACTCTGACCCGGAACACAGAAAAGTGGCAGCATTTTAATGAACAACAAAACGTGTGAAAACGGCATAAACTCTGTCCCGCGCTGCGACCTCTCGTCTTTACCCTTTAACCCGGAGCGTTCTTGTGGGAGATGAATGCAGCTTTATAGGTAAAGAGAGGCCCTATGCCGAGTCATGGAAATCATAAGGAGAGCTGGAAGAATAGAGCGTTGTGTTAAGAGTCTGAGTAAGTGCACTTATGGTGCCAAAGAATACACTTAAGAAGGAGACGTGGGTACACACTCGTATGCACAGCAGCAGTGACCTACATTACTAAACGAACAGTAAGAAATCAAATGAAACAGCACATAGACTTTGCTATTTCATTTGTTGGCCACTTGGGAGAAGCAGAACGGCATGTTTGTATCATCTCCTCACATATCTAACAGACACTTCAGCAGTTACTTAGCCACCTGAGGAGTACGATGGCAATATTTACTATTTCTTTCAGCGCTGTTTTGGTCTCTAGTTATTTTGTATAACTCTGGTATTAAATGGTAATGATGCTGCTGCTTTTGTCTTTGGGGGGTAGACATGTACCTGTAGCAGCAGTGAGTTCTGATCCTTGCTTTTTGCTGTTTTGTCTGACAAACTCCAAAGAGGGTTGTCTCTGAGGTAAGAGTACTGGAATCATGTTGACAGCGTGTCAGATTGGACTGTCCTGTCGCTCTCAGATTTTCTATTTTTATCAGAGGCAGATCTTACACCCAGTCCAGGGAGCCAGAGAGACGGGAGATATGGAGGAATTGTGAAAGAAGGAGTAGAATGTTGTATCTGTTTAAAGTATTGTGTGGGAGTCATTGGTCAAAGAAGCTTGATATTGAAGGATATCAATGTACATGTGGCTATTTAATAAGAATACAATGGGTTTGTAAGTCATTTTCTATTGCACATTGTGTCCATGTTAGCTATCTTGGCCACAAAGGTCTGTTGCAAACTGAAAACCCACCTGTTTTGCTTGTACCTTGCCCCAAAAAAAACTATCACTTAGGAGTTCAGCCCATTAGAAACTATTGCACAAGCACTGACAATGGCTTGGCTTATTTGTACACTTTTTTTGTTGTACACAGTTTGGATCATCATGGTTTATTGCACTTATTGTAAGTCACTTTTGGTAAAAACGTCAGCTGAATGAAATGAAATGTCATGTAATGTAGGCAGGGACCTCCTAGCCTTATTTGGTGTGTCCTGGTCCCAGTGTTGTTGCGCACCATGTGACGTCACCACACAGCGACCGGAGCAGTTTCCACCTGCAGCTGTGTGTCCCGCTGAGGGCTGATGTTCATCCATCGGGCACTGATGTGCGTGATTGGCCTGATGAATGGTCATGAGTCCTCAGACTGGTGGAAGCAGATGGCACGTTGGCAGCGCTTCATGGTCCTGCCCTCCATGGACATGCCATGTGCAGAGAGGAACTAATCACCCCTCCCACCATTGGTGTAATGACCAATTATAGCAGCATGATGTTACTTGCTAAACAGCAGCCATGAGACGGAAATATTATGGCCCAAAATGACTGACCTGAAAATACATAATTCATAAGGATGTTTTTTTTGAAACCCTGGGGCTTTGTGTTGTTGGTAGTTAGTATTTCCCGGAAAGGTGTTAACCAAATAAAGTGACTTCTGTATATATTAGTAACTCCACTTTAACGGTTATGAAATACAGGCCACAGGATACTAGAGGTGTTGACAGAATCAAACCTATCCATCAACAAGTGGCAAACCTGAAAACCTCAAAGGATTATTTTGATGTGCGAACTAACATAATTTAGAATTTTTTTACAAAAACTTTAAAAATCTGTAGACAACAATTCAATACAAAAAAAAGTAATACAAAAAAACAATACGGGGTAAAAGAAGAAGATAAGAAATACTGTCAATAAATCATTAAATGTGATAACAAATATACTTTTAAAATTGGATAATTAGCTGGTAATGTGTACATGTATACTTCTTTTCCTCCTATGTCACATGGAAACAGCATTACAAAATGTCTTTCCTCTTTAAAACAAAATGAACATTGGTTTGTTTTTTCCATTTTCAGGTGAGCAGCCTGGGGAGGGAAGTGTCCGACCTTGGACAAGTCATGAGGAGAATGGCCCAACTAATGGAGACCCTCATGACCTCAGCCCCTCAGCCTGCGGTGGTCTGCCCCGCACACTGTTCCCCTGCTCACCTCACATATCTGCACCACCCGCAGGCTTACCCTCCACCGTCCCCTGCTCACACTGCCACCATCTGGACGGACACGCCCATGTCGTTGCCCTCTTCTCCTTACACTGCCCCTCAGCACCATGGTGCCATGTGCCAGGCGGACCCCCTCATCTATAGACAACAGGACCTCCAGCTTGGGTACCCTGCTATCCCCGGCTCAACTCCACCTTTAATTTGTGACTCGCCTTCTCTTCTCATCGCAGAGCCTCATTCGCTGTCCTCACCCCTCAGCTCTCCTGAGGTTTCCCCCCACAAAGACGGCGTTTCTGTCTCCTTCAGGTCGATTCTAGACGGCCCACCTGCACAACATGAGGGAGATGAGGACCCTCACCAGAGCTGTTCTCAAACAGGACTTGGTGTTACCTACCACCAGCCAACTAAGGGTTTGTAGCAGCCCTCCATCTGAACAGCAAAGCAGATATTTCTGATGGGATATGTTCCTGATCTGAACATCAAACTGATGAACTGGGGTCCCCCATATCATTGGAGGACGTTTGCAGCGATGCAACTCAGATTCCTTTTGTTTTAAAGGCACGTGTTAAAAAATAATAATCTTGTTGCATGAAAACAAGCACAGAAGGTGTAGGTGTGTCAGCTTTACCTTATAGAAACGTAGTGTTAGGCAGGTTTGGGTCCGTTGTGATCTATATGATGGCAGCTCTCCGGGCACAGCTCAACCCCCGACCCCCTCATCTGGAGGCGGGGTGGTGCCATAATGGAGGACATGAGGGAAACAAAGGAGGACAGAGTTGTTTCTTTCCTTCTCTATTTTTTTTTGTTGCTTCTGGCTAGTGATGGTTTCAGGTCAGCTTGTTGGAGAATGAAAGCATCTTGAGTGGTGGAGGTGGACTATGGGGACACAGAGGGGAGGCCTTTTTACGACCTTCCCCCAACCCCCTATCTCTGCCATTTACTCTCCTTCAAGCCCTTCTCTCCTTGCTCACTCAACCCACGCTCGGTGCTCTGGATTGCGTGTACCAGTGTGTGGCTGGTTAAACTGGGAGCACAGTATGGTGTGAGGATGGCGATGGAGATGGGATGTATTGTGCTCTTTACAGCTGGCCCTCAGGGAAAGGGGGATGGAGGGTGGAGGAGGTTGGTTATGAAGGGGGTATGTTATGCCTGAGGCAGCACAGCCCCTGCTGTCGTCTCTCGCACTGAGCGCAGGGACTCTTTCTCTGCTTCTCTTCTCCAGTGTTTTTCTCCACAAACTTTCATTCTCTCTCTCCTTCCTTCCTAATCTTTCTCTTGCTCTCTGCATGCCGTTCAAGCCTTTTGAGTAGTGCCTGTAGACACACATTAACATAATGCATGTCACCCTGTGGAAATCCAGCTTGCCATTTATCTATCTATTTAAAGGACACAAGGTTCAATCGTTTAGCTGAACCGGGCATTTACTGATGCATATTTATTGGATGTCGACTCAGTTTAAACAACTGGGTGATTTGAGATAAGGTAGTAGCCGCCGTTGTGAAGTGGCCTGGAGGAAATTGCCAATACTAAATTGGTTCATGGTCTACAATGGAGGCCAATTCCCTGATTGTCACCCAGGGTTACAAACTGCTGAGATCCATTTTCTCAGCAGTTCAGAGCAAACGCAATATTCCCACATAAAAGCACAATAAGGAAGTAAAGAAGCTTTTATATTTCTATGAATGTATCAATAATAAATATGTATTTTTTTACCTCAAAGAATGCAAGAGTGTGGGATGGCAGATAAGTATGCTACTGTATATGAAGGTGTGACAGTGCTGGAACCAGTCAATGCAATCTTAAACCAGGAAAAGGTCCAAACTTGCGTCCCTACAGATCTACTGTTCTCTTTTGAATCCGTGTAGGTTGGACTCTGCTTCTCTGCAAATGGAATGTACTGTAATTAAGCATCTTTTTCCCTTAACATTTTGATATTATTAGATACAAATCACATGTTATGCTAATAAATGACAAATATGACTGTTTATGTCCTGTTTTATGTTTTTGTTCAACAGAAACAGCTGAAAAAAATCTTCACCTCCATCAAATTCCACCTTTTTCTCTTGGTCATAATAAATATCAATGTGTCGCTGATGTTCAAAAAACGTACCATGCTATCATGCTCAATTAAGATGCTTAAACTTGTATTAAGCATGATAATATTTGCTGATGGGAATGTATAGTTTATGGAAGTATTTGGTCAATTGAAAAGTTTACCTGTTGATCAAAGTTAGTCAAAGCGTTAAGGGATAACCAAAAGTTATTACAATTCATTAATGGGGACATGATGCAGAATGTTATTGAAATCATTCAACAGCAGTTCCTAAATTGATCGTGGTCTTACCAACACATGCAATACACAAACACACAAAGTTAATAATGCCAGATGTCATGCAAGACTGTTGCTTGTCCACATTGTTTATTATAGTAGTGTGTATTTTTTTTATTGTGCATGCATGTGTGTGTGTTTCTTTTGTTATCTGTTACCACGGTTCATGTGAGGTGAAAGAGCAGCAATCGCCATGTCTCACTGGTGACGTGGGCGGGGGGGGGGGGGGGGGGGGGGAACTGAGTAAGTATGCGTGCTGAGGATCACATTGACACATCTGTCACAGGTGCAGCTGCTCACCACTGTGTGTGTGTGTGTGTGTGTGTGTGTGTGTGTGTGTGTGTGTGTGTGTGTGTGTGTGTGTGTGTGTGTGTGTGTGTGTGTGTGTGTGTGTGTGTGTGTGTGTGTGTGTGTGTGTGTGTGTGTGTGTGTGTGTGTGTGTGTGTGTTGTTGTTGTTTTTTCATAGGAGTGCTGCATCTGTCTGAATTTACACACATACATCAGCAGGGAAGCAGGTGATATATACTTGATGGTGATGTGGCAATGTTCTCTCTTAACTTCGATGTTTGGAAATGCTTTTAGAGAAAGAGGAAATAAGCAGGGCCAAAAATACTCTCCACTTAGACCATTTGTGTGTGTGTTTTACTGGGAAGGGGCTTGCAGGTGGGTGGGAGTGTGTTTGCACTGAGGATTATTATTTGTGTATTTAGCAGCGCCTCCAGCACATCTGTGGGAATGCTGTTTTTTAGCCTGGAGTCTTGAAGACCCATCCATATTTAATGGTGTACACACAATCCCATCCTGGCTGCTTATGCATCATATTATCCACCTGCTAGCGAGCTCATGTTTTATTCACCACGTCCCACAATCTGCCATTAGGCCCATCTGCCTTCCTCTTTTGCACCGTTGCTGTCCTGTTTCGCACCACTTATGATTTTAGCTTAAAGTTGGGTTTGACTCAAAGGGATGGAGACGAGGACAAATGGAAAGAAATGGTAAATAGTGCAACAAAAAAATGCTAACGTAGGAAAATGATTAAAAGACTCGACTGATGATATATGAGCATTCATCGTTATACTTAAAATACTGTTTCATGTTCCCTCTTTTGCTGTGTGTCTCTTTTCACACTGTTGAATGATGGCCCTGACCCAAATACAGCAACTATTCATCTCTGTCCACTCATTTCAATACACACAGAAATGCTGGGTGACCACACACACACACACACACACACACGTTCACTCTTCCATTCAAATGAGCACTTTATCCCAGTGAAAAGAGCCTCTTCACTTGTCCCTCGCCCCAGATTTGAGTACTCAAAAGAACACCATCGCTGTGCACGAGGTGTGAACTTCTCTCTCAGGTAATACAAATCTGTCCATCTCTCCTTTCATCTCCCTGGACATAATGGAGTTATGTTGAAATCTGCCAGCTGTGGAGAGGTGTTTCTGTTCTGCCCTTCCTGAAACCTGATTGGCTGCCATGCTTACAAAAAAGTGAGCTGCAGTGCTGATCCAAGGGCACATTGTGTGTGTGTGTGTGTGTGTGTGTGTGTGTGTGTGTGTGTGTGTGTGTGTGTGTGTGTGTGTGTGTGTGTGTGTGTGTGTGTGTGTGTGTGTGTGTGTGTGTGTGTGTGTGTGTGTGTGTGTGTGTGTGTGTGTGTGTGTGTGTGTGTGTGTGTGTGTGCTACTGGTTGTGTGTACGTCCATATATATCGAGTGTGTGCCAGTTTGCATATAGAAGAGCACCCATACACATGCAAAGCTCTCCAAACAAGGGCTTTACATTTATCTGTTCCACTCGGGGTGAGGCAGCCTCTGCTGTTGCACATCCAACATGGTTACATTTGCATTGGTGTGTAAAGCATGGAGGGAGGGGGGGGGGGGGGGGGTGTGAAGCGTGCAGGACATCTTGTGTGTGTGTGTATGATAAATGAGTCTGAGCTGCTCCCCTGGGTGCTGCTACGGTACAAGTTGTGGGTGCTGGTGGTGCTTGGAGAGGTGTCAGAACAATGTGAATGTCAGAGGTGGAGATTAATGGTGGTTTCTTCTCCGAGGAGTGTAGGTCTGGATATGCTCTTCAAGAGAGGATCCAGGAACGGCTGCTAAATCACCCCCTTTGCTGCTCGCCTGTCACAGAGTGGCCTGACATTTACAAAGCAGCAGATAGGAGCATCATCGCCGTGTAGAGCCATGGGAAATAGTTGTCCTCCGTTGTGTTGATGTAGCAGTGATGTAGGGTTCCTGTAGAAAGTCAAGACTCCTTGATAGAAGAAGAGAGAAGGCATTCCTCTCTATGATCAACCTGTCATCTGTCGTGTGATGATCCTTAAGGATAACAAGAGAAACAGTGGCATTTCAAAATGAACGCTGAAGGAAGTCATGCAGCCTTTCTTCCTTTTTCGTCTATTCAGGGACGGCTAAAAACGAAAAGTGAGATAATGATGTAAACTAAACTTACATGCATAACTCCATAGATCCGAGTAGAGGAAAAATGTCTCAAATTATTGGGTTTTTAAGGCTCGTTTATGCACATTTAGAACAGCATAAATGACTTAGAATTCCATAGTTTTATACACAATACTTGTCATATGATTGTTCACCCAGAAGTGTTTCCAGTACAAGTTGCAGATCTAAATGCTGGCCATTGTACAGGAATATGAGTTTTGTTAGAAACTCAAAACAGACCTAAAGGAGGCTACACATTGGACTTATACATATATGTGTATCATCTATGGTTTCTCATTCTAACCTATATGTCGTCCATGTATTTGCTTCTACAGTGACCCTAACCCGTGAGCCAAAAGAGGGCTCAGTGATAAAGTCCACACACACATGGTTCTAGTATTTCTCTCTGGAACTGTCCAAATCTCCAAATGCTAAAGTGAAATTGTGCACCTCTTGCATCATGCTTGTTAAATCCAGTGTGCCCATGTCACTCCGCTCTGTGATGCCAGTGAAGGGCCTCTAAACTGTCAGATATTAATCAAATGTGTCTTTATCAAATCACCCATTTCTATCTAGTTATGAACACATTCAAGAACTACTTCAGTAATTCATGTTTTCATCACCTTAGTTTTAATTTATGAGCACATTTTACAGATAAATCATCCTCTTGCTACCTCACCCTTTTCAGCCTCACAATTCACAATGTGAGTGAAAGTAAGAGAAATTGCTGCTATTATATTCCCCTTACAGCTACACCCAATGTGTTTTTTGACCTGATAAATCTATTTTCATGTATTTGATGTGTTGAATAAATATAGGTATCATTGAAACACTGTTTTAGAAACTAAAGGGCACCCTTATTAAGAATGTGTGTCACCAGGAACTTTCTAAATGAGACATTCAAAAGCCATTTTTGTCTCTTACCTTAATTGCTGCTGCAAGCCAAGTTTTCGTCACATTTAAATGCACTTAATCTCCACTCAGTGTCAGCCCGGCTCCAGAGGCCCATCCACAAAGGCCTAATTGCACAACAAGCACATAACGAATCACTGGAAATAACAGTGTCTGTGTAAAGAACACCCAAGGCTCTTAAAGCTGTGAATTGTAAGCGCAGCCTCCTCCGTTCTGGGTGAAATGGCCCCATGGATCTTCATAAAGAGGCCACAGCTCCCCGCACCACAGCCGCTCACATCCATCCGAGTCCCACAGGGTCCCCTCTATAATGTGTTTGTGAGAATGCGAAAATTCCCAACGGCCATCAGGGTATGATATGGGAGTGCACTGTATTAATCACACTGACCTCCGCATGGAGAAGTGACGGAGGAAGCTAGAGATGGGAAGGGAAGGGCACGCAAAGGGTCACATGCAGCATCACAGAAGGTGGACAGATTGGGGACAGGAAGGAGAAGAAGAGTCATGAGAGAGTATTTGAATGCAGAGTGAGGAAGATATTGCAATAACATGAATGAAATACTAACATTTGTTAAGAAACTCTTAACGTGTCGTTCTTATTTCAGATTTTCTGTGTTCATCTATAGTTTGCAATTTTATGCAAAGCTATTAATCAGCTATATACATTTTGTCAATGTCTAGAATAGTCTTTAATTGGATTTAAGTATTGGATGCCACCAAATAAGTTTGACAAAAGCTGCCATATGTTACAAATATTAAACATATTGCCTCATTTCTCAAAAAAGCATGTTGTAAAGGGCGTTGATTTACCAGCATGTTTGACTCTACTATTGCTGAGAGTCTTTACAGAGACTGCTTCGTGTAGCCTTTTATCCTCTGCTGGGAACTTTTTGAACATCTTAGGATACTCTGCAATAAAAAGTGATTTCAAGGACCCCTATAGGCCATTGGATTTAAGCCATAAAACAGCCGGTAATAGGATTTATAAAAGGGGTTTCCAGAGGTAGGCTACGCTCTCAGGTTCCTTTTTCATTTTCACTTCCTTGTTGTTTCCGCAGGTATCTTGTGTGTGGTGTTGGGCGGTGTTCCCATGATCAGATAAGTTCGATGCATGATTCGTGGGCAAGTTAACTTTTCTTCCAAATATTTATTTTCCTGCAAAATGTCTTTATTTAATCTAACCTTATTAAAACCCATCATGTGGGAATTTACATAAAATCAGATCAGAAACAGCTTTATTGCCAGGTAGCTTCGCACATACTAGGAATTTGACTTGATGTCATGGTGCATACATAAAATATAAAAAACAAGAAATCTAATATAAAACACAAAATCTTTTACACCGTAATAAAATACAGTTAAATAGCAATAAAATAAAAATAAAATAAAGCAGTAATTTACATGGAAATAGAATGCTATGAATGAATTTTTGCATATAAACTATGAAATGTGAAGTCAGAATATGTGCAGAAAGGAGTATGACATTGTGTGCATTAATGTAATGCATATAGTCTATGATGTGGCAGAGGTAAAGTGTCAGCGGGGGGGCCGGGCCTTGTTGACACATATCAAAATGACTACATAACAGAGAGGCTTTAAAGAAAAACACAACAATATTTGTTTTGTATTTTGAAGATAGCTTTGTAAATTAATTAGTGTTATCTCCAATAGCAGATACAAAGACTTTTTAATAACCATTGCGTTTAACTATGAATAAAAGAGTTGGAGACTCTTAACTAAAATGCTCTGAAGCATGTCAGTTCAAAATCATACATAAAAACTATTTTCATATATGGTTAGGGCCATAAAGTATCAAGGCATGCAACGTTTAATATGAGCATGACAAACTGCTTAAACAGTCAGACCTGTCCCTGTCTTTATCTTCTGAGCAAACGTGGATTGCATTCACAATGCAATTAGCCACCAAATGAGTATTTGACCTCTTGAGTCATCTGAAGACCCGAAGCAGAGAAGTGTTGCCCCTTTTGTGCATCATCTCAGTAGCCTTTAGTTATGTAACTGAGAGAAGACGTATTAATCAACAACATGTTGTTTGTCCAAGTGTTTGACCTATGCCTCGGAGCTGCAGACAAGCCATATGACTGGATTTATTGAAAAAGGTGCCATGTACTTGACTGGGCTAATTGCACCATGGGTTAAAAAAAGCATTACCGTGACAGAGAATATAGGTGCTTCTTAGCACTCAATGCTCGGGGGCATGGAGAGAGTTACTGAGGGTGAGCTCTGGGTCTTCCTATAACCTTGGGCTCTGCGACTTAACGCCTACACACCAATGGTATGAGTAACAGTAAATACTTAGACACAAAAACACATGACCCTGTTGTCTTGATGCTAATCAGGGACAGCATACACTGCTCTCTGTCACATGCACATCAGGATATTACTGTCACATGGTAGGGTAACTGTACAGCATAATTATATCAGCTCCAACCACAGAAAGTTCACAACAGAACCTATTCATGGTATTTCCAATAAGTAAATAATATGGGGATGTTATTGCTGTATAACAATTACCAGGGTTGGGAGGTCAACTTTAAAAATGGAATCCGTTATAATTACTAATTACCTGTCAAGACAAATGTAAACAGTAACCTAATCCTAACATTTACAATATAAAACGTATGGTACCTGATTACTTTCCATAACTTTTGGTTAACCTCAATATATCAAATGCAATGACAATAAATACAATATTCAAGACTTGCTTCACTTGGTGTTGTGAGCAATTTAAAGTATTTAAATGTGTGCATATGTGATTCTTAATATATTGTTCTTTATTTTTAAATATAAATTGTAACATCGTAGCCCTTGTAGTAATCCAAATGTTTCAATACTGTACAAGTAGTCTGATTATGTCTCTTTTTTTCAACTGTAAGGGGTGCAATAACCTTTTTTTATAGACTGATTACGTAATCTGGTTACATGTATTTTGTTACACCCTAAACCAGACATTCACATTGATCAGATTCTTAAGAGAGGATTTTGAAAGCAGGTGGCTCCCTCTGCTGTTGGCAGCTGATATCACAGGAATAGACTTATTTATTTGGTCAGAGACTTCATAAACATTGTTAAAAAAAGAAAAAAACTTTAGGAAACGTGTTTTCAATTAATATGTTAAATAATTTGGGTTTGCAGGGACTTCACATTAATACATGTCCTGCAGAACTAGCTATATCGGCAAAAGTATGTGGACAAATACATATCGCTAAAACATCATGTTATATAAATGATTTCACACTATATGATCAAATGTACATAAATACATAATACATACAATTCATAAAAAAGCAGTTTTAAATAAAGACTTTGTTTTAACGTAATCGTATCTAAATCATATTTTAATAATCAGTCAACACAATACATTTTATTTGCAATCCTTAAAACAGGAACAAAAAAGCTGAGTGGCAAAGAGGAGAAAATAATAAAAAAGGTATTTTTTGTGTTTTTTTTTTGCATCATTTCACTACATATGCCACTCTGTATAGTACATAAATGAAAGAAGTTCCTATACAAATCCATATATCCCTCTTAACTTTCTGTATCAGGCACCTTTAGGAGCTACTAGCTGCTCAAAGTGCCACTGTTGTCTGGGGTGATGGGTGCAGGGGCGCAGGAAGAGGCCCCCTGTCTTCACTTCTTTTGGGCTGCTTTGTGGGAGCCCTCCTTCCTTCAAAACCTCCAGACACAGCTGGGACTGCTGGTGGACGAGCTGACCGCTCAGCTGTAAGAGAAAACAGACAGTTAGCCGAACACTCACTGTGACCATATATTCAGATAATAGTAACTTTCTGCCTTGCCTTTATGAACTTCCACTGCAGTCTGCTGGAGGTTGGTCGGTGTGTGGGGCACGGAGATAAGACCGCCCTCTCATCCTTGGCGTCCAAACACAAAGCCCCCATTGGACCCCATCGCACTTCTAACTCAGAGTTCAGTTCGCAGTGCTGCAACGACAACAGAGATCATCTTTGCCACTGTGTGTTAGCTGTCTGCAGAGGTGGTCTTTCGTATATAACTTGGAGCTTAGTGACATAGTGATTGATTCAAACAAAGTAGATCTTGTAGAATTAAGTATGAAATTGCTGGTTATCAATAGTGTTAACGTTCGCTATTTCAGGAAATGAAGGCACATTAATTGATTTATGGCACACTTTTGAAATAACATACTTTTTCATCTTTGGTTTTCAGGGTTTGGTTGTAATTGTTCTATGTCAAAGGGCTCAAATCCATGTGAAATCACAAGTCATTGGTGTTAAAGTCCAAGTAAAGTTTTCTATTTGAGTCTCAAGTCATCCAATGTGTCTGTCCGACTCAGGTCATGTAAACAAGTCCGTCTTAGATTTTTATAACAGTGTCATGGTTACCTGGCTGCCTGTCCCACTGCACGGTGCTATGTTCATGGCCCCGCCCTTTGGCCCCTGCCCTCGAGGGTAGTCTGCACAGCTGCCAGTGCCGACATTGTACAGCTTCAAACGGGAACAAAAATGATATATCACACTGTGTCATGCGCCTCAATGTATACATAGTGTGTGTGTGTGTGTGTGTGTGTGTGTGTGTGTGTGTGTGTGTGTGTGTGTGCGTGTGTGTGTGTGTGTGTGTGTTATCTACCTCTCCTGACAGTGCAGGTCTGTCCTGAGGGATGTAAAGCTGTGGGTAAACTGTGGTCAGGTACCAGTGGAAGTTCCTACAGCCCAGACTCCTCTTAAGCCGCAGACGCTCTGTGATGTTAGGGCTCTCAGACTGCAGAGAAAAAAAATAATGATGTCTTTAAATCTTATATATTTGGTGAACATCAAACATTTCCCAAATTGGGATCAATAAAGTTCTATCTTATCCTATCTTATCTTATCTTAAACACCCAAATAAAGTATTGAAAAATATCCACACCAGTAATACACACCTGTCTGATGAAATGAGCAAGTGTGTCTCTCCTGTAGAAGATCTTCCTGTATGCGTCCATCCAGGTGTCTGCGACCCGGATCTTGTTCCTCTGGATCAGCTCGTCGTCTGGAAAGCTGTAAGGCAGGTGGTGGTGGTCCAGGTGGGCCACACGGGAGCAGGGAACCACCTCCAAGGAGCCCCCGCATGACCACACCTACAGGAACAGAGAAACAGGTTTGTGGCCCTTTAGTTTTGCTTTTTGAGTTTCAATCAAATCCATTTGCAGCTTGCAAAAAATAGCACATTCACAGTCTTATCTGTCATGAACATGCTACAATTCCCAACTGTTATTTAGAAAGTTGTCAAAAGAAAGCAAGTGGTCATATAACATTTCCCTTTTCAAACTTGAACCTTTGTCAACTGGCCCAAGCCTTCCCAGACCACTATCAACCTGAGATTTCCATTTGGAAAAGGCATCATGTCCCAGCACTACATTCCTGAGTCCCTGACAGAAGGCAACTGAATCACTCAGCCAAAGCATCGCTTAAAAAGATTAGGTGACTTAGGATGAATAACCAATGCAATCTGTCTTCCCTCAGTCCTGTGTGAGCAGGTGAATTGGAGGACTTGGATAGGAAAATTGATAATTTAAATACGTTTTGCTTTACCCTGATAGACAGCTCAATTTGTTCCTCTCCCCACAGCAGCATCCCAGGGTCGTAGGCTCCCACACTCTGGAAGAAATGTCGGTCGATAGCCACAACTCCGCCTCCTAACACGGGGCTCCTGTTGGTACAGAATCTGAATCACTTGCCAAGAACAAACACAGGAGATACAATGAAACTCCAGTCTAAGTTAGCAAGGACACACTGATCTCAGAAAGCAGCCTAGAGCAGTGGTTCCTTTTGGCTTATGAGCCACAAAATCACACCTTGTCAAGGTTACTGTATATTATGAGCTATGAGCACTTACAGAAAGAACCATTTGTATCTCCTTTTATGCTCTCGTGAAAAATGTGCTCAGTGCTTCCTCTCAGGCTTTATTCAACATTCCTTCTATATTAAACTGCTGTATACTCGTGTCATGGGAGCACAATTGATATCATTTAGCTGTGAACTCACTGCACAGGTCGAACCGCTGAGTCTGGGTCCTTTTCTTGCAGCTCAGGCTTAGATTCCCAGTAGAAGTCCAGTCTCCAGTCAAACACTCCCCTGACTGGCCACTGGGTGGCATTGTACTGGAAGGTCTGCCAGTCTATCACATCCATGATGGGGGACACCACTCTGGTCCTGCACACAGACCCCACATTAATAGGAACAGTCATTAAAATATGTATTTTTTTAATTGAAATGCATCAAGTATGGTAATTCACAATGAGGCTGATGTTATGAATTCAACATCTGTTTTCACAGTCAAAGATTTGATAAGATAATATAATTTAAAAGTCCTAACCAGCCTTTCTTGGTCAACTTTCACTTAGTATTCTACCCTCCCTCTTAGTAATGGTCATTTTGGGTCTCTTTGTGGTCATTTTATGTCACTTTGGAGTTGTTTTGCATCTCTTCGGAGTTGTTTTGTGTCTTTTGAAGTATTTTTGAATATGTTAGTGGTCATTTTGCATCTCTTTTTAGTTGTTTAGAACATTTTTCATGTTGTCTTTTTGAATATCTCTGTGGTTTTTTTGCATCACTGTTGTTGTTTTGTTGCTATTTTGCCTCTCTTTGATGCTGTTTCTGTCGCTTTGAGACTCTTGCCTTCTTTGTGGTCATAATTGCTCTCCTTGTCAATGTTTTTTATTGACTTCCCAACAAGATAGATTGCATGGGGCCTTCTGACAAGTGGCTTATTGACCCCTTGGGCTGTGTGCAATGAGTAAAGAAGAAAAAAAAGTTTCTCATCAGTTTGTGTTGACGTGTTTATTTTTAACTGCGAATATACAGTATGTGTTTAATGTGTCTCAGGCTTATGTCGCATAAGCCAAGTTTTGAGACACGCACACTTTATAGGAGTCTGTTCTGGTTCACATATGTTGTTTCAGATATTTCTCTCTCGCCTGGTGATGCTTGGAGGACATTAAGTGAGAAGATTAAACATGGGGGGGTTGGGAAAAGGGTCAAATATGTGGCTGTGGAGTTGAGCGGTTGCAGATTCCAGGTCTGAGAGTTCAGCCTAATTACCTAGTCTAATTAGAGCCACACTGCAGGCAGCCTGAGACACAAGACTGGAGCCAAATCATGAGAGCTGAGCTTTGGATACACCCACAGTGCATGTCTCCCATGCCATACTAATGAGTAAAGACAACTAACAACTCTGAACCCTCCATTTTCTCACTTCTCCAAAGTGGTTCTGTCAAACAGCAGAACACAGGAGAGAAAGAAACAGACAGAGTTTGGGCCCCGCTGCTGGGTTGTTGTTTTCAAGACCAAATGTATATCTTAATTCTAACCCTCCCCTTATTGTAAAGTGATTTTGAGTTTATGAAAAGCGCTATAGAAATACAATTTATTATTATTATTATGAATTGTTCTCTGTGACAAAACTCTAATTAGTTTACATATTATATTTTTGGGATTCAACCAACAGAGTCATTTAGAATTAGTGTCATTCAAATGACAAATCAGGCATTGGAATACCAATAACTTTGCACAGTTTCATTATTTTTGCACACAATTAGATGTGAGTACCTGTCCTGGGCAACTCTTTCCAGCAGTGGTTCCAGCCAGCCCTTCTGGCATTCACAGTGGGAGTCCATGAACACCAGCACCTCCCCTGCAGCTCTGGCAGCACCCAGAGTACGACACCCTCCAACACCCAGGCGCTTGGTGCTGCGAATCAAACGCACCCCGTCCAGATGAGACACATACTCACTTAGCACACTCTTCAGGTGACCTGGGGAGTAAACAGAGGCATGGACACGTGGTCAGATCAGGTCATGGATGGATGAACTGATCTGGCCGGATGGAGGAACTCACCGTGCTGGCTCATGTCGTCCACCAACAGAACCTCCTGCAGGTACTGTTTGGGTGCCGTGTCCAGCACGCTGTGCACGGTGCGCAGGAGCGTGGACCAAGCCTCGTCATGGAAACAGATAACAACACTGGTAGAGGGCAGAGACTCGCTGTACTGCTCCCCAAAACACCTGTGGAGTGGAAAACAAATGCACAAAAAAAGCGACACATTCATTTACTTTGAAAGCATCAGAAGTTGGGTCGGTTCGGCTGATAAGTCTTGGTGTATATTTTAAGTCCGTGCACTCACTCGGGATGGCGTGCCTCGGGCAGCCTGCGATGGAGAGAAATCTTCTCGCTGACCACCTCGTTGAAGCCGTACTTCTGCACCACAGAAGATTCCACTTCCCTCTCCTCCAGCTGCACCGCTTTCCCCATTTCACCGTGCGTCGGGGGCGCAGGGGTGCGGGTGTCCTTATTTGCTCCGGGCAGAAGCACCTTGTAAGTTCTCTTCCTCTGTTGTGGGTTCTTGGTGCCCTGCATCGATGGCACAAATAAAAGCTGGTCCTCTTGCAGAGATTTTAGCGGGGCGAGATCCAAACCGAGCTCTAATGCAGGGTCCCGCGAGTCCACTATGACCTCCAGGTCATTGGGGATCCCCTGGAGGGGTCGGCGTGGAGGGACAGGATTCTGGTGACTGTGGACTCGGTCCCGGTTTAAGAGGTCCGAGAGAGCTAGAGTTACCAGGGCGAACCCGAGCAGCAGCAGCCAGAGGCAGAGCACCTTCCTCCTCCGGACTGTGGCTCTGCCCCACAGCCTCATCATGAAGAGTGCAGAGAACAGGATAGGAAATTGACCCACCTTGAATGACCCATTTTTTAGCTTTGACTCAACTTTGAGTTCGATTACATTTCAGCTCTGCATGGATAATCCAAAAAGCAGAAAGATAGGCTAAATAACTCGCCCCGTCAGTCTTCTGGAGTGTATCGCTGCATCCATGGAGCAGCAGACCTGGGATGGGAGTGACAGACGAGGCAGGTTCAAGACACCCCCTCAACTTCTTCTTTCATGGTGTAGGTGCGCACACTTTGCCTCTCACCCAGCTCATCCCGGGGTCCTAAAGCCCGCGTCGATCCGAGCTCGAGGTCTAAAGATGTAGGCTACCTGATGGATCCACCTGCTGTACACCTGCTGTCTCAACCCTGAAAGCAATCCCAACAGTTATCTGATCAAAGGGATTTATTCGCCAACATTTTCAATAGGCCCAATAGTCTAATGGAAACCATATGCAAGCGGCTTCTCTCAAAGTGTTTAATTCAGTCATTTTCATGATTTATTTTTATTTTGGAATGACTCATTTGGAGGACTTTTGTTTAGTTTGAATATAATATGGCGCCAGTAGTTCTCTTTCAAAACTCGGTTTGTTTCCCAACAGAAAAACAACATTCTGTTATAAATAAGTCCACGTTGCAGTGAAATGAGACAGTGTTTTTATCCTGCAGTTTGTGAGAGTCGGCTTGGTGGAGGCGTCTCCCCGGTGCGTCACACATCAAAGATGCTATCTCTGGCCAGCTGGCGGCGGGCCTCGCAGTCCCATGACCGACTGTCGATGCAGGGAAGCGGGGCGGTGGTAAAGTCGGTCCCCGGTTCTCCGAGGAGATCTTGGCAGTCTGTTTTCAACTGAGTTCAGACAACCACCATAGTCCATCTTTATTTGAATTTACTTTTTTAACAAGTGGAAATAGTTGTTCCTACTTTATCAGAAGGAATTTTACATAGAGGCACTAAAATAACATTTTTAGAGAAAAGTGAAAACGCCCTAAATGTGAGGTAAGGAATGGAATATGCAAAACTTTCCTAATGCTGTTACCAAGTGGCCTCAGGGGGTGTTTTCTTTATGATGGTGGCCAACAAGAGGTCAGTCTGTACCCAAAGTGTCTTCACCACATCACTAGAAAGGAAGTCCATATGTGTCAGCCTGCTTCACACACTCTGCTCTGTGTTGTGGCTGGATGGAGCTGTGAAAGGCAGCTTGGCTTTGAAAGCTGCAGCCAGAGATCATCCCCCCCCCCCCCCCCCCCCCCCCCACCTGACAGTGGTGTGGGTGTCTGGATGGGTTGAGTGAGTGAGTGGGATTAGCAACTCACAGCCTTCCTCCCATTGTTCTCAAAGACACTCAACTCCCCTCTGCTCAGGATGACAGGGCAGAATGACTTGTGATGATTATGATTACAGTACACAGAGGAGGGTTGGGGACACCTGGAGAGACAGATTGAGAAGTTGAAAGAGTAAAGGATGGCTTCAGAGCAACAAGATGACGGTGTTGCAAAGAGGGTGGAAATGATAGAGACATGAAAGATCACAGAGACGGAAAGAGTTTAGAAGTGACCAGTTCTTCTGTCTCCTTGTGGGAATAAGTTTATAAGCTTCAAGATTGAGAAGAAAGAAAGTCCTCATGTCTTTCCAGTGCTGCACAGTGAACACTCCCATATGTCCCGACCTGCAGCCAAAACACACACTGAATTGGAGTTTCCACGGCCAGCACATTTGCAGACACACGCATCAACATAACACACACACACACACTGTACATCATAACACACACACACACACACACACACACACACACACACACACACACACACACACACACACACACACACACACACACACACACACACACACACACACACACACACACACACACACACACACACACACACACACACACACACACACACACACACACACACACACCACACACACACACACACCACACACACACCACGGTCCAGTCCATGTACTCTGCAGGAATGAGACTGCATTCCACCATTCGACCAGCGGCCAGGGCTGTAAATGAGAAGGCACGACAAGCACTCGCATGCTTCCTCCCCACACACACACACACACTCACATCGAGAGAGAGAGAGAGAGAGAGTTTTTTTCAGTTTTACAACCATTGATGGATGGATACTCTGAGAAACAAGGAGGTTATACTCTCCTCTGTCTTTTGGAAAAACAACTTGGGCTTAAGTTCTCTTTTGTAATAATTGCATTATTATTTCGTTATAATACAATGTTAAACTACTGTGTAATGGTAAAGTCCTTCTTTCTTATTGTACTTAAATAAAAGTAAAAAAGTGAAAGCATCAACACGTACTTTAAAACAAGTGAAAGGACTCATTCTGCATATTGTTGTATTTTAGTCAGAGTTAGCATCCTGTTTCTATGATGCCTCTTCACACTTTTTCCTGCATTACTTTTTCGATTACTTTTTACTTTGAATTTTCAGATTAATATCACACAATTTAATCAGATTAACATTACACACGTTTTACCAGACTTGATCAAATGTATACTGAATTATGTATTAGTAAACAATCAATATTTCTAATCCAAAAAATTGGAAGCACTCCCTTTTCCAGCTTTCCAACATGAGAGCTGCGGAGTGGTGCTGCCCTCTACTGAAGGATGATGAGTATTGATGTAAACGAACCTTTTTTTCTACATGTCATGTTTATTTGACGAAAAATAAAGGTAATTCAGGTTCCACTTACTAGGTGACTTTCGTGGCTTTCTGTCACACTTCTTGGCCTTTAACGATGCCTGGAGTTGGCTCGGTTTTCCTCGAGACGGAGAGACGATTCAAGGTGAACATTAATGGTGTTTCAGAAATGTTTCCTAGAAAAAGCCTGCACAATTATTAACATCACTCAAAACACGTGATTGCGCACATGCAGATACATTAGTGAGTTGTTACCGTCTGACTGTTTTTTACTAAAACACCAACAACAAAGCCAATCAGAACTTGAGATCATCATTTGATAGAATTTTAGGCAGCTTTTATGGGTTTGATCTTTAAGCTTTAAATAATTTAAATGTATTTTCATGATTACCTTACATTTTGAATAACAGTGTGGTTTTCTCACGGTGAAAGTCGTAGATGAATTTCCTAGGTAGCCTATTTTCATTGCATTATTTGGGTTTTCCATTATCGACAGGGTTGAGGTGAGGTCACACTGTAATGTTAAGTTGCTATCTGCTGTATCAAAGTTTAAAACATCTCTCTCGTTTTTTTATTTTATTTATTTTGATAAGCAGATTATTGTTCTTCCCCCGTTTCATGATCCCATTCTCATTTCTTCCTAAAATGTTGTGCACCCACAATGTAGTTTTTCAGAATACAATAGAGCCAGCCAACATCATTGTCTTGGCAAGGCTGCAAAATTGCATACACAGAAAGAAAAAAAAACACAAAAACCATTAACTCAAGACAAACAATCACTTTAATGGAAAAAAATGTATTATAATTGTACAAAAAAACATCACATGAAATTAGACACAACAGGCACAGTATTTCTGACATTGTACACTTTCATATCAAAGTGTATAGGCTATAGTTTGTTGACCACATTGACTTGGGATCAAATATTATTTGTAAAATATATTTTCTGGGGACCTTTATAACTTCACCTTAGCAGCAGCTTTATTCGTTTCCTGTAAATTAAATAGGCTATCGTGAATCTGTGTGAGATGTTTTTTTTTTTTTTTTTTTAACACAGATCAAAGTTTTCTCTCTGAGGTTCAGGGTTAATCAAATAGTTTGGACAGTAAATGGATTGTGAGTGGGTTTGAGTTTCGGGACCTTTTGTGTTACCTTTGAAGCAGTTACCAGACTCGCATCGTGACAGCAGCACACCCGCTGAATTAATAATCACATGTTGGATGGTGTGGAAAACGAGCGCACATCTTACGCTTTCCTTCTGCTTTTGGTGCTGCAGTATGGAGCAATCACTGCCCAGACTTCACATCTGTGCGTTTCACCGTGACACAGCTCGATCAGACCAATGTATTCAGTAATAAAGACAGTCATGTGCTCGGCTGTCACCCACACGCGGACATTTAAGGTTATCAGGATTCAAGGTTACCATCAAACTAGGAATAGGCCTACAATTTACAATCAAAGTAATATAGATAACTCAATTATGTAATTATATTACATTTTGTATACGATTCGCAGCCATGCTGTGCGTAATATAACTGAGGAACATTTGCGGTTTAGGATTTATGGGATGTAGACCATAAAATGTACATGACTAATCCAGGCACGTTGTCACCCGATCACTTTTTAATTGAACATGTTTCTCCGGAATGGATCAAAAATAATGAAAACGATGGCAAACTGTAATTGTTATTAAGAGAACGTTATTTAAATGTAACATTTATAGGATCTAATACTGTAAATTGAAGACAACGATTTAAAAAATGATGGAGAGCAATTTGTACCTTAGACTGCATCAAAAAGGAAATATGTTATACTGACTTTATTGTTGCGTTTTTCTAATTAGACAAATATTTAAAAGCTATATCAAAAAAGCTTTATTTGTTCAGGTCAGCGGGTGAGGGGGCGTGCCGTGTGCATCTCTCATGAGTTTTTGCGTAAAGCAGACTAATGAGGGATGAGATGCGTCTTGTTAGGAAACATCACATGTTTGTGCGCTCAGCGGCCCCAGATTAAATTATTGGACATCAGGACAAGCAGGAGGATCACTTTGGAGAGCTAGACGGGCAGAGAGAGGCACAAGCTCTGTCGGGGAACACGTATTAGGCTACTAGATATTTAATGTGTTAGGCATTTTTTTTGTAAAGATTTTGACAAGACACTTTCCTGCTGAAGAGTGGAAATGGAAGGCTTGCTATTCGTTTTTCTCCTGGTTTGTGCCTGCGTTGTTTTCCAAGCTGATGGACGCAAAAGTAAGTGCTTCAGAGTTAGTCAGCTTTATTAATTGAAGTTATTTTATACTATCTTGAACATTTAGTCTGACTACATTTTATTACATGCAGGCTTATGTGTTTCCTAAATGTACACCTTAAATTCAAAATATTCACACTAAAATGTCTTAATGGCCTTGGCTTTACAATGTATATCATTTTACAGTAGTTATTAAGGGTTTGATATACGTTTGATGCTCAAGGTCTCACAGTATCTGTTTTACCTGCTCTCAGATCTGCACTCAGAGTCCCATGAGTTTAATTAAGGCGCGAGACCTGGCTAATGGTGTCCGGTCAGAAAAACAATCTTAAAGAAAAGTTCATACAAATGTAATATATCTTAATACATTTACAATAATGTCAAACTTTTTTTTAAATAGGATCCCAACGGGGGAAAACACGTTTTTTCCTCAGTCGTCATAACTATGAAAAGTTGTATTGTATTATTACAACTATACATGTAGTTTCAAATAATTATTGTCAAGTTATGAGCAGTGTATGTGTATCTGCATATGTCTGCTTACAAAAAAATGTATCCTCAAATATCTGGATTATTTTTCCTTTAATTTAATACATCGATGGAACTCTGTTCATGTCATCCCTTAAAATATGTGATTCATGCTTGAGTCAACATTTTGAGAGAAGGAAGAAACCAAGGAATGGAGTAAAAATAAAACGATATCATAAACAGATATGGCTATCATATTTAGTTTAAAACTACAGAATAACAAAAAAACGTTTGACCCTGGAAAATCCCACAATTGTCAGTTTCCCTCAAGGATCCAAACTTTTTAAAGAGCTCAGGAGTCCTAAAATGTGTTTTGTTCTCTCTTGCCAGCATATGCTGACATGTTCCCCCACAAGCATGCCATGGCAGGGAAGATACCATTCCCAATTCCACCAATTCCTGGCTGGGATCCTGACACCAACCCATGGGATGATTACCTCTACCCTCCATTAACCCCAAAGCCAAAGGAGCTCATGCACCACAAAGGTGAGTAAAGCCATTTTTTCTCCTCTCAATTCTTTATGTTATTTATTTAATATTTTTACCAACACATCTACTTTTCTGCAGGTAAACCAAAGGTTCGTCTGACCAGCGACAGTCCGGCTCTCAATGGCTCTAGCATCACGTTCACCGCAAAGCTGGAGTACCCACCATGCCAGAAAGAGGATGCTAATGGGGACCTTGTATGGGATGATCACTGCGAGGATGGTACGGAGCTCGAGGCCTCAGGTGCTGCCAAAAAAAACAGACCAGGCCAAGCACACACACACATTACATCATCTTCCTCCACAAAACACCACGGCATCATATCAGACAGCAACAGCAAAAGATTTGAGTCATTCAAAATTGATCTACAGGCAATGCGTAAAGCGGCATTAGTTCATTTAATGGCCACTTGGGGGCAGCACAACAACTGTAAACGCTAGGTCAACATATTATCAATTTATAAAGTTAATATAGTTAATATGCTTTTGCAATTCAAATATCCAGGAGACAAAGAGCAACATTAGCAATGATTTTGAGTTGTTTTTATCTGTGTCCTTACAACTGTGTTTTTGTCTCCTGAGGAAAATATCTGGCTCTTTAGTAGCTAAATGTGTTTATCTGCTCTTCGGTGCAGTGGATTTATCGTGGATATTTTTGCTGAAAAACTGTCTGTTGTTGCTAGAAACATGGGTTGTGTGACTGAACCAAAACATTCAATGTACAGACTATAGGACCAAAACAATAAGCTGCAAGGTGATCCATAGAGTTCAATGTTAGGGGATAGTTATCTATGTGATTTGTCACATTACATGATGCATCACAAGGGGTAATTTGAACCATTGTAGTTTAAAAAATATAAATGAGTGCAGGTTTACTTTTTTAAGTTTTTGAATAACACAACTGCACTCTCTTCATCAGCCAATGGACAGGTTCGTTCTGGTTACGTTTACAACTGGACTTCCTGGTTGGACGACTACGGCTTTGGAAAGTGTCCAGATGCGACGAAATGCAACGTGTTCCCAGATGGGAAACCTTTCCCACAGAGCAACGACTGGAGCCACAAGAGCTATGTCTACGTGTGGCACGCAATGGGTGAGACACGCAGGTCTACAGATTTGCACACATTCATGTTGAAAAAACAAAAATAAGTAACTCTCATTTTGTCTTCAGGCCAGTACCACGAGACATGTGACGGCTCTTCTTCCAGTTTGACCATCAACACCACCAACATCCCTCTGGGGGCAGAGGTCATTGAGGTCATGGTCTACAAGAAACGTGAACGCAGGAAGTACAGCCCCCTTACTACTGACAACACCGTCTTCTACATCACAGGTGAAGACAAACACACATGATTCGGCACATTTAATTTATTTACCTTTCTGGCAGACAGTAGCAAACACAAAAAGAAACAGAGAATTGTTTACACTCACTCTTTCCCTTAGATAAGATCCCTGTGGCAGTCGACATCTCCCAGAAGGTTGCGGTCAACCAGTCCCAGAATGTTTTCTTCCGCGGTGAGGACGTGGTCTTCACAGTACAGCTGCATGACCCCAGCGGCTACCTCAAAACCGCAGCCGCCATTGACTACATCTGGGACTTCAAAGATGGCAACCAGCTGGTGACACACCGCGATGTGACCACACACACCTACAGCGCCCTGGGGAGCATGAGTGTGAAGATGGTGGTGGAGGCAGCGTTCCCTGTCGAGTGTCCGCCTCCCGCTTCCACCCCAACTCAGAGGAGCTCCACTTTACCACCTCACTCTGGTACTGGAAACGGAGATATAGCCCTAGGTGCAAATATTTTAAATCCTACCCATGGTGGCTTTAATGTTAAATTAACCAAAAAGAATGACACTACCCTGTGTTTGAAACAATACCAAAAACTATCAACATGATACATAACACAGGGTGCCAATAAGAAAAAGTATATACATATCTTTTTGGTATTTTTGGTAAACTGACCAGGGCGATTGGCTGTTAACTTTGATCAAGACAACGTAACGCTGCTGTCACGACTAGTCCTGAAGTGCAGTTTGACTTTGATACACAAGACAAAGCAAGAAGTGACTTTCCCTGCACCGATCATTGAAGTGTTACCTCACAAAAGTAGATGTGTCATAACTGTAGTCCTGTGTCTCTTCCTCCAGAGGCTCCCACACCTCCGCCCGGTACTCATGCTGGGACTGTCAAGATGGAGACGACCCAGGGTGAGTGTCACAGCTGTCAGTGTGTTTGTTTAGGTGTGTATAAGAGTGAAAGAGAGACTGAGGGAGTCCGTGTATCTGAGCAGGAACACATTAAATATACATGAAGACCCAACAACTTGAAGATAGAATACTAGCCTCACATACACACATCCTCATCCATTCAGAGGTATTTCTTATCACTTTCTTCTTGTTTCAGTGCCACCCAGGACCAGCACCAGCTCCAGGACCAGCACCAGCAAGCCCCTAACGTCTTCCTCTGCTCCCATTGCCACTACAACAGGCGTGCCCACCACGGAGCCCCTACCTCCTTTTGTTTCCGGTGCACCAGGGTCTGACCCCACGGCCCTGGCCTGGCTTCGCAACAAGCGCAGCAACAGCAACAGCAACAGCAACAGCAACGAGTGCTTCCGCTACGCCCATGGGACCTTCATGGGCAACATCACCATTATTGGTAGGTGGTGGGCTGCAAGGGGTCACAAAAGTTCAAATTAGAACCGTAATCTGTATTTTCAAAGCAGTTCAATTTTCAATTGCTGTCTGTCACGTGTCATTTACGATACTAGCACCAGATGGCGCCAAAGTCAGGCATTTTTTTTATTGAACACTTAGTGGGTTTAAAATATAATTGGAGATTTTAAAAAATAAAACATTGGATCAGTTTACAATTTAACTTTCATAATTTATTTAGTTGGTATGCAGTTGTGGCCTTGTTTGTCGGTCGGTCAGGCCACTACTTTGGTCCAAATTATAATAATTTAACCATTGAATGTATTTCCTTGTATCATTATTGGTCTCCTGAGGATAAATCTTAATGTTTTTGTTACCATCATTAGGTTAAAACCTCTACTTCTCCTATTTTCAAAAGTGAATTACCAAATACCTTCAGAACTAATGACGTAATTGTCGTTTTAACTTTTTTAACATAATCTAATTAAAAGAAATCCAGAATAATTTATCCATGTTTCTGCTATAGAAGAATTATAGTTTTATATCAAAATTGTAAGTCATTATTATTATCATTATTATTATTATCTACTTTTTCAGCTTGTATATGTCGAAAAGCACACACATACACAGACACCATCATGTTAATGTTGCGAGAAGATGATTATATACATCTAAAACCACTACATGAATGTGTTCTCCACAGAGCCCAAGCTCACACTGAGCAGCGAGTCAAACAGCCGCATTGTGGAGGTCTCCGCTGCCAGAGTGACCAACACCGACATCAGCTTCCTAGTGAAATGTCTGGGCAAGTGAGTATATCATTATTGTATTATTAACTTTGTTAAACAGACTTAGTTTTTATTAGTGTTTTCCTGACTGCTGTGAGACGGCAAGAGCTGCACTACTGCTGTGTTTGGTCTGCCTCAGTCTGCTTTACAACACATGATGCGAACACACACACATTAAGTGAATGTATTTATTCCCTCTCAACCTTTGGGTGAGATCTAAAATTGTAACTTTAAAGACAGCTTTCAAGTGTTTAAACTGACTCTTTGTATGTCCGTAACTCCATATAAATTATGTTTTAAACATTTCTAGCTCATACAAAATGATGAATACAACAAAAAGATGAATGACTGTCAGTTAAATGGTTGTTTTTGTAGATTATGATTACATTATGTTAATATGAAATCACAGTCAAATATTCACACTCATACGTTTTCAAGGAAATTAGATTCATTTTTGTTCAAGTTAAGTATACAAAGGATGATTATATTGACCTTCAATGCCCTTGTCCTCAGCATCCCCACTTCAGCCTGCACCATTGTGTCGGACCACACATGTACTCAGGTGCGCAGCATCATGTGTGACGACCTGCCGCCATCATCTCAGTGTGAAGTGCGCCTCATGCGATCGTTTCCAGAGCCGGGCACCTACTGTGTCAACATCACCCTGGAGGACTCCAGGAGCCTGACCCTGACCACCACCGTCGTCACCATCAACAAGTCCCAGGATGCACCTGGTCGGTTACACAAAGATATCTTTACTATGCATCTTCACAATCTTTCTCTTTTTCTTGCAGCTTTTTAGGAAGTGGACATATTGATGTTTCCGGTTTGGGTTCATTACTGTTTTTTCCATCCTGCAGTGTCCAAGACATCACACCCTGCAGAGGTGGTGCTCTCTTCAACCGCCGTGCTGGTGGCTGTCTTTGCATTCATTGCGTATATGGTCTGCAAGTGAGTAGTTTGTGCCTCCACATACACACCAATTTCTTTCTGTTAACCACCAAATATTCTCTCACCCTTTGTCTCGCTCCTCCCTCTCTCCAAGGCGTTACAAGGTGTACCGACCCATTCGTAGGTCCCTGGTGGAGGATGCCTGCGGCCATGCTAGGGTCGGAGGTCGCATGGTCCGTCTGAGGGAGGCTCTCTTCCCCTCCAGCGAGGAGAGCCACCACCTGCTGACTGAGAGACGCCCCCTGTAGGCTCCATGAAGCTGCACCAAAGCATTTCAGCCCTCAATGCTTAGTTTAATCATTAAAAGTCAAGATAATTTTCATGTCTGTAGAGAAATACTATTAAATGAGTTCTGTGTCCTAATTTAGTCGTTAAATGTTGGCTAAAGCTACTGCAGTGTATGATTGGCAAGGAGTTCTCAAAGTAGGCTGTGAAATATCCAAATCAGGCACTGCTCCTTTTTATTTCCTGTTTTCTGGCTCAACTTTGGAAGAGGTAGTTGCTAGGAGATGAACTGGGTTTCTAGTAGTGGCCGTTTATTGTTCAAATGAATCGCTTTTGTGCAAACTGTGTGGCAAGTGCTGCTTTACAACTGTGTGCCTATAACAGTTAAGTACGAATTCCTTGAGATGGTTTTCCAATATAAAATGTATACTACCAGTGACATGTGCATGTTGAATGAATTGAAATTTGAATTTTTTTTAATGTAAGAAGCAAATCAATGGAAAGACTTGACTGAGGACTCTAATAAAGGTTGTGAACTAACCACTCTTTTGACGACATTCAGTCATTTCTCTTCATGTTTTTGTACGGGAATATGAATTATTTGACCGACCTTGCTTCAGTACATTCACAAATGGTAGAAATCTCTTTTTACTATTCAATAAAATTACTTTATCTCAAGGTTGGAGCATTTGAAAGCCTATGATGTCAACAAATCAACTATGGTAATTTACCTTGAGTGTATCCTGGACAAATGTTCTACACCCTCACCGGTATACATATGGAGACATGCGTTTCGTCGTTTGCTAAACATAACATCAGCTCTTATAGTCGTTTCCAAAGTACACACTACATACAGTACAAATTCTAAAAAGGTCTTTATGTAGCGTGTTTAAACATGAGAAAAATAAACACTCAAAGAGAGGGCTGTGTCTACATTATTACCTTAGATATGCTCTTTCGAGGTGGTTAAAGTGAGGATGGGTTGTTTGGAAGGGACTCTTGAGATTTTCGAATTTTCTAAATCTGGGGTTACCTTCAAGACACAAGAAAAAGAAAGTGGGCTGTTAAAGTGCACCTGTTTGTTTTCAAATGCAGTGCACAAAGCAAATGAGAGTGCTTCTCAAAGCTGTAAAAAACATTACGGATGGTTGTTGAACATCTCAGAAATTCTAAAATATATTGACATCCAGTCCGTCTGAATTCAGTTGTTTCCCTTTGCATTGGACACCTGTTGATAATATTAAAAATATATATACAAAATATACAAGTTTGTTGCTTGTGTATGCCATAATGAGTATTATATTGTATATTATACACAATTATGTACCGTTTATTGCACAACATACCGTCGGGCCACAATGTTAAAAACCCTCAAGGTTTCAATGCAAGTTTTGATAAGAATGGAAGAGCATTGAGAGTTTTAGACTTAACATCATTAATCTTAACCCGAGAAGGAACATATCCAATTGTAACAAAATAAAGTCACCGACAGTGTGTATGATTTCAGGTTCCAACATCGACCAAGAATAGACCGTTTTGTGCCACAAAGCAATCTTCCTTAAGACATTTAATCCAATAGATTTCTTCCAAAAATATAACAGCCATATCCCACAAGAGAAAGTGTGTCAGTCCCCTTAAAAAAGCAAACAGAAAACACCAATATTTAATTTTTTTTTTTATTCAGAGGCATTTGACAAGTGGAGCTGTGTGTGAAGGGGAGGTGAAGGGGCACAAGCATGGTTGCAGAGGAGGTGTAGGGAATATCATGCTGAAGTTAGATCACTTCTCCAAAAAAAACTCAGAGACCCAGTCCCTCATCTGTCTTATACCAGGATGTTTCACGTTACACAGCCAAGAAATGCTAACAGAAGAAACTAGCTACCAAATCAGCGAGAGAGTGTAGCATCTGTAAAAGACGAAAGGGAAAGAAAGACAGGACTTGTATCTATTTTTGAAGTCTTACAAATCAGAAAGAAAAGGCAAGGCCCTTTTTTTTTATTTTTAAACTGTATTTTTTCTCATTTTAACTATTGAATGCAAAATCAAACGCGTGATTTGACCTTTCTCACAAAAAAAACCCAAGCAAAAGTTCAAATACATGTAAGCCACACCACCAAAAATAGAAAGCAGAAAGAAATAACCATCGGTTGAGGATTTCAATTAAGTCAAAGAGTACATATAAAACACTGGCAAAGAAAATATTTTTGATCACTTTTTTTTTCTCGATTATTCTCTCAAGTTCTAAAGAGTACATGATTTTAGTTTACGTTTTCATTCATATCTGGGGGGAAGCATGGGGAGGCATAAAGAAGGGGGCGGGGGCTAAATTCTAACAAATAGAAGAATGCCTCTACTTCAAATACGGGTCTAAAGAGGTAGATCAAAACAAACTGCGAAGGAGGGGGGGGGGGGGGGGGGGGGGGGGGGATGGGGAGGGTGGTTTGGCAGGAAGGAAGCAGGGATTTGGGAGGTGTCGGGATATTTTTAAGTATCACTTGTGCCCCTCAGTTAAGCGTGGTGTTAGGATGGCGCGCCCATTTATAAAGAAGTGTTCGGAGGGGGGGGGGGGGACTGAGGTATCGGTGCGTGCTGGCGCTCAGTGGGGGTAGGGGGGGGTGCCTCGTGCCACAACAACCCCCCACCCCCTCAGCTGAGGTAGACGGCGTTCTACTGTGGAAGCATGGATACACTCGAGCACTTTTACCACAATCAACATATTTACATTCGGCATGAAGAGACAAATGAAATAAATTGTATATTTAAGTTTTGGATTCCTTTCCTCTTTTCTTACCACCCCCCAAAGTCGGGGGTCATTCAGTATTTTGCCTTTTCTGGCTTTTTCCCTGTTTGAACAAATCAACATCAAGTTACATTTGTGGGATACAGAGAATGTTTTGTTTAAATCAATTTTCTATAGCGCAAAAAAAAGAAAGAAGAATATGCGTCTATCAGTGAGTCTCCCCCTACCCTCACCATGCAGTGAACAACGTTTACATTGACTTGACGGCCTGGCTACAAGGGCCACTGCGAACTGACAAAGCTTGCTCTATGAAAAAAAAAACCTAGTCCGGCTTGGACCTTGCTAAGACACCGACATCGAGAAGGTGGCAGATGGTCTGGGAACAAAACAGACGAAAAAACAGACTCTCTGCTGACTGTAGGGCAGCGAGCAGACTCCTAAAGTCCACACTGCCCTGACGACAGCCCTCCTAGGAAGGCAAAAAAGATTTTTTTGTTGACAAATTAAAGTACCATTACCAATAACAATGTCAATCCCAAAACTAAACGGCATTGCTGCAATGATGTACGGTTGGCATTATTTGCATGTTGCAGTTGTTTTGTAGTTTTTTTTCAGAAGATGGTGGACCCTCAGGGGAAAAACTGAGGCGATTTTCTCTCGATACTCCTGTCAGCCGCCAGCTGAGGGGGCGCCAACTCTTGCTCCGGGGCTGCTATGTACAAATAGACTTTATGTACAGGGTCATCTTAAGTCACACATACACATGAACAAAGCCACCTAAAGCATCCGAGTTGAAGGCAAGGTCAGTTGGCAGCTGACCAAATTTTAAATTTTCTTAAAAAAATAAAAATGTTCAAAGACTATCAGCTTTATAAAGTATACAAAATACCACAAAAGCAAAATAAAAAAGAAAGGAACATTTTTTCATATATATAATCATTTTCTTTTCTCTTCTGAGGTACTAGATCCTGAGGTAGTTAAGTAAAATGCATATTAAATTGGTTTTCCTGGGCAGCAGCAGTTCGGCACTGTTTTCCCTAAGTGTCAGTCGTGGCGCTGCCCTCACCTCTAAATATATATTCATCTATGTATATAGGTCTATCTATAAAATGCATCCAAATTTATAAAATGCCACTATCATTACTAGGGCAGGACACCCAATATAATCCACCCTTTCAGGGGTCCTGGCCTGAAACAAGAATCTTTCCCCTAAACATGGCCCACCCAATCTGAGCCAACCCTCCCCCAAAATAAACCTTTCTGTTGGTCCAACCAGGACCTTGATAGCAATGCCTTTTCCACAGAAAACTCATGAGAAAGCTTCATAAACCAATTAAACACTTAAAAAAAAGAAAAAAACTAATTCAACAAAATAATCTTGTCAGGTTTGAAGTACCACACCAAGTAGCTGATAGGAGGGGGGGGTCCTTATTTCTTCTTTGTGTTTCTAGTGTAAAAAGAGGACAAAAATAATAATATTTTGAACACACCCGTGGGGGAGGAGGAGAGCGGTCGAGGGGTGCGTACGTGTGAGGGCAGGTGACGTCGTTGGGAGCCCTCAGAAGTACATTCTCACAGAGATGCAGAGAAGTGAGGTGGGTGGAGATTTGGAGGTGGATCGTCTCTTATTAGCCACACCTGAAAGTTCATCAAGCAAGACAAGGAAGGGTGGATGTTTGGTTGGGTTCTGATAATCTTTGACCCCTGAGATGAGCGTTACGACCCCTTGTCTTCTTCTTCTCCCCCCGGACTCTGCTTCATCAATCCGTCTGTCGAGTCTTCTGGCAGATTCAGTCACCGTTCCTCCAGGTCTGCTGGAGATCTACTTCCTGCGGGGCTGTGGCGGTTGGCCTCCAGATGTGGGCTTAGGCTGCTGCTGCCTCCTCACCTGGGCCAGGATCTCCTGGATCTTTCTCTGGGCCAGCTACAGGACATAAAACATGACGAGATTAGAGCCAAGTTATCACAACAAGAGTTCTTAAAAGAAAGAGATCTGATCATGAAATCCTTAAGAGAGGTCTGATGCTCTTCAGAATCAGACACGGGTTTATTACCAGGTAGGTTTACATTTATGAGGAATTTGACTTGATGTCATGGTGCATACATAAACAAATAACATAAATATATTTAAAATAATAAAGAATATAGTCAAATATAGCAGTATTTACATAGAAATAGAATGGAATAAAATATGGAATACAATTCGGCAGTAATAAAAAAAGAAAACAGATATTGTATACATTAATGTAATCCGCTGAAGTTGTTTATCTTATATTTAGGAACCCTTCCCTGGTGAAACAGTTTGAAGTACTTTATGTAAACACTGAATTAACGCACAAAACGGAGCGCTCGAAAACACAGAGGCAGCCGCCTTGCTTTTTTTTTTTTTAGCATGTACGGGATTACAGCTCTCTCAAACAAGTTTAGTAAGACCTTTCTTCAAATGCAGATCTGAAGGAAAACAGTGCCTCTGCGGAATCAGACCTAGGGACTGTTACTTTCTGAAGTACTGTAGATCTTCCAGTTGTTTAGAAAAACCCACCTGGCAAGCAAAGAAGTGTCCGATGATCTTGACGATAACCTGGTCGTTCTCATCAGGCGTCTGGTCCCTGGGCACCACCACCTCTGCACAGGTCAGGTTCTGCAGCTCGTTCACCTGCAGCCACAAAAGGGATAAAATAATTGCGACTGAACACTTAAATGTAGTGCCTAGTTTAGCTTCGTCAGCTGCTGGCTTGGGTTTGTACAGCTAGTATAACCACTAATACGTTTGAGCCCTTTCTTACCGTTTTTCCACCCTTCCCGATGACGCGTCCAGCAGCAAAGGAAGGGACCTTGATGTGAGCCTCCAGCTTCACCTCTTCTTTGGGTCCAAAGAAATTCTCTTCCTTCAGCTTGCCGAAGATGCGACATTGAGCCTGCAACCGGAAAAACACAGATTACTCATGCTGCATTTCTGAAAAGGGGACATTTTTACAGAATAAAAAAAGCCCTAGAAAACACTCAAGACTGGCTCTCCAGAGGCAGTCTTGAGCTACAAGAACATTATGTCTGCAGAAGTCAAACAGCTGCTCACATAAAATGTAGCTATGCGTCTCAACTCTTTATAACTACTATGAGGGTTTTATGTGTTTTTATGGATGTGAAGAGGTACCTTAAACTGAGCCTCTGGTGTTCCGATGATGATGACAACCCGCTGTATGGAGTCCTTCTCTTCTGCAGGGGCAATCTGAAGAGGACAAACGGTCAGCAATAAATACAAAAAACGGCAACCTTCACTTATGTTTCCTATCGGTAAAAAGGGAAAACAGGTAGACCGCAGTCATCGACACATCACCGAGACTCCAAACTTCACTTCCTGTCCAACGCTCACCTTGATTGAGGCTCCGGCAAAGTGTGACAGCTGTTTGATGTGTTGACCCTGTTTTCCAATGATGGCTCCCACAGCGAGTGCAGGGATGAACAGGTGAACGGTCTCCGACTCCGGTTGTCCCTGCTGGGAAAATCAACACTTTATTACAACTGTGATCACGTGCAGACGACCATCTTCAGCAATGCAGACAGTGGATCCAGCAAAAGCTTTTCAGTTGGGTTTTTCTTCCTACGACCATTAAACCCAGTGGGAATTTGTTTTCCTCTTCTTACTTTGTTAATGTTTATTTGTTATCCAAAGCCACAATCCTAATAAGCAACATGCATAATACTTGAAACTCTTCAAGAAAAAAACCCACAGTGTTCATGTTTAGTTGGAGAAGATGTATTGAAGGAAGCGTGGTTGCAAACTGCTACATCACACGTGTTTAAAGTGTGTGATTGACTGGAGCTCTGGTGTACATCGACTAGGTGGGACAACAAGTAGCACTGTTGATTTTGGATTGAGGCCAATATTCTGTTCAATCTGTCAGCTGGGGGTACTATAACAATTTATTTTGGCAGCCTCTAAATCTGGAGATAGACTTTTACTGCCGAGGAAGTTCTGTTTGAAAGACATTCACCTTCCTACAAAAGTGCAACTGCAGCATAATTTGCAGAAATAACACTGTAGAACATTTAAAATATGGCGAGAAGCCAATATACCTTTGCCCTCCAGGATTTGTGTTTCCCTAAGCACACAGATCAGGGTCTACCTAAGAAAGGTCAAAGATCAAGGGGCAGAATAATAACTTTATTCAGTAGCAAACCCTGCCGCTCTAATCCCGCAGCGAGCAGCCACAAGCCGTGCAAAGCACTTTGGGACGGGGGACTTACAGAAAAGGGCTGGCTGCTCGCAGAGAGCATAGAAGCCCAAAATGTCCCCTCACCACCATAAGGACTGCACTAAAGGAAACAAAGCAACATGAGGTAGAGTTGCTACAGACTAAATATAACGTTTTTTACAACCCTCACCCAAAAGCTGTGGAATACAGTTTGTGTACACAGCGATTTCTTGGATTTTAATGTAAGTTTTTAAGATATACTGTATTAGATGTGAAAAGAAGACCGTCACTTACTCCATAGGCTGATCCACCGTGGGCTCCATGATGCGGCATCCCGGACATGGAGGGGCCCATGCCTGGCGCTCCGCTGGGGAACAAACCCAGAGCGTTCAGATTCAAGCCTGGAATCAGGTTGGACTGCAGCTGGAGAGAAATGGGAACAGATCCATTAATGCAACGCACATCAAGGTTTGTATGCTTGCTCATAGACACCAGTAAGAAAGAGCACAAGTTTAACAGACAAGTCAAGACTTCAGATCAGAGTTAAAAAGATAAATATCAATCTCAGAGGAACATCGGCTTCATTTGAACATATATGTTTATTAACCCAGATTTCAGACTATCCACCCAGGCTTTTGAAGCATTATTTGTACCGCATTGTTAAAAGTTTCCTTTTTCCAATGGACTGCATTTTAGCATAAAATTCTTTGCATTGATTGAACATTTTTGCCAGTCGAGCCCAATTAAAATGCCCAGCCAATCCAAGAAATACGGTCATGAGAGCCGTGTGCACCAACAGAAATGGAAAACTCCCAAATTAAAGTGTATGCATGAATATGACAGGATATGAAAGTGCTGCTATGGCTATTCCAGATGACTGATGTGCATGTTCCGTATTTCCTTCCTAAAAAAAAAACACATTTTCTGGTTTCCTGTTTTTATTACTTCATATTGAAATGTTCCGTTAGAAATCAAGTTGTTTACACATCTCCCACTTGAAGGAAATAAGAGTTTCGATATCAATAAAAATGCTTACGTTCATAGCGGCCATGTCACTCTCATACGATTCCATGATCTTCGTCATCAACTCCTCTAGAGCTTTGTTGCTCTCCTTGAGGGTGCCGTTTATCGTGATGGTCCTCTCTAGGTTGTACACGGTCAGGTCAAGGAGACTGGAAAGAAGAATGGAGGGAAGTGTGAGGGGATACATTATGTGTGTGTCTAAATAGCCGCGTTCACACCAAGTACTTTGCCGTACTCAGTGCCCCGGCACTTATTACCCCAGGGCACTTAGTACAGATCGTGTTCACACTGGAATAAGTTCCCTGAGGGAAGATTACGCAAATGAGTCGCTGATGTCACTTCGTCTTCTTCTGCTTTGGGTTTACTGGCAGGCCGCAAACAACTTCACGGCGTATACTGCCGCCGGAAGTCCCCGGAGTTGGGGACTGGCTTCAGTAGAAGCTGCTGGGACTCCCAACAGCTTCTACTGAGCCTTCCGAGTAAATCGCCGGAACGCCGACACCTCCTCATCTCCACCGCTCCCATGTTTTATTTTGTGTTGCCATAAGTTAGTCTCTCTGTGTTTGTGCGCTGGGCGAATGCTAATGCTAATAATGCTAATGCAAGGATAATAAAATGGCGGCTCTACAAAACATTTCAGAGTTTTACGGGGCGTGGTTTGCAATTCGGGCACTTTTTTCCCCCAGGAAAGTACCACCTCTCAGCAGGCACTAAAAATGGGGGTAAAAGTTCCCGGGATTAAGTACTCTTTTTGGTGTGAACGTGACATAAGGGGTACTAACGGAACTAAACGCGAAAAGTACGGTGAAAAGTACTCCAGTGTGAACTCGCCTATTGACACTAAAGCATATACATGTCAATAAAAAAGTGAACTTACGCAGAGATTGTGATCTTGGTCCCGGTATCCTGCTCGATTTTCTTCAGGTTGCGTCCTTCCTTTCCAATTAATCTTCCTACAAAGTTGTTGTGTGCAAGTATCTTCAGTGGGATCGCCTCAGTACTGCAAGACACAGATGGGATGTGAAGTTAAAATGAGAACCTTAAACACAACATCCAGATCAGCCCTCTCCTACCAATATAATGTTGTCTGCATGCATTTCATTCATCATAAACAAGCTGTAAAAGTTCTTAGAAAGTATCTATCTCTCAACATGTGACTTTATTACCAGACACAACTGTTAAGACTACTTTTTAATATTGTCATGTGAGAAAAAAAACGTCATTTAAAAGAGAGCCGACGATTATATCAGGTGTGTTTAACAAAATAACCACGTTCAGTCTTTTACAATTAGAAAATTATAAGAACCCTTGCAAATATTTTGTATTTCATTTTTATTTGGGGGAAACTTACAACTTTGTGTCGACAGCTTCCTTCTGCATGATCTCCATAATGGTCATACAAGCGTTCAAACAGCCTTCAGGAGTGGAGTGAATAGTGATGGGCTTCTCTGCAGCACCTGCATTTTCTTTCCTGTGGATGTCAATCCTGGAGTACAGACAAGACACATTTGTTAAGCATCTTTTCAACAACAAGATAGGACATGAATGCATTTAGATAAGATCAAACAATCTTAGAAAAAAAATGATATAATAACCCATATTGGTTAAGAATGATTAAACAATGAAAAACAAAAGATTAAAAGACAATAAAACAAAAATAAATGAAGGGGGCAGCGTTAGATATGAATACATTGTCCCAAATTAACAAGCTAAGCCAAAAGATTTCAGTTTTTGGTGGCGTTTGTTTCAGATATTGATCACTGCTATATAAACCAAAATGGGACTTCAAGTGAGTTTTTAGACCCACAGACAGAGGCGCTTTTAATCAGCTGCCTGAGATAAAAGATAGAGCCTAATGAAACATGTAGATATGTTTGGGTCGAAGTAAAGGACTATTATGGCGCATTTCCACTACACGGCCTCGCTCGGTATGGCTAGGCCTCGTTAGGACTGGCTCACTTTATGGCGCATTTCCATTACAGTTTAGGAACTGGGGTAGTATCTATAGTAACGCAGTGTAGGCGGAGCCGTGACGTCATCTTCAATGAGAACCCCAGAAAAACAACACAGCCGTTAGCTGTTAGCACTCAGAGCTCACAGCTCCTCATATATGTTCAGAAACTAGACAAAAGTTAAACAAGTACAAACCACAGACTGCCTGTGTCATGGCGAATACAGTCGCTGCTTTATTTATGTCTGTATAGGCCGTTGTTGTGAGTGTGGACGGTCGGAGCATATACTGCGTTAGCTTAGCCAATCTCCATTTAGAAAACACGCATTTTAAAAGGTTTTTCGCCTGCCGTCTGTCTGCAGACTTGTCAAAGCATTAATTCATGGTTTTTACTAACCGGTATCAGTATGTTGTTACTTCGGCATCATTTTGAAACGTGTATTACAATGAAATCACGGTCAAATATGTCCATCTTGTTGTAGTTGTAGCCCCCTTGCCAGCGATTCTCTCTCTAGTTTAGCATACTCAGCCCGACTCAGCCTCGTTGTCTCTGGCCCTAGACCCACGATTTTATGAGGCCAGAAAAACTGTGAATTAGGACCCGCCGGCCGGTACTAGGCCAAGTGGAAACGCAACCAAAAACGGGCCGCTGACGTCACAGCCCTCGCTGTAGTGGAAACGCGCCATTAGAAGGTTTAAGTATAGTTTTTGGTCTTTAGTGTTAGAATTGAGAAGTGAGCACTAAATCATTCAGTTCAAAAACGATTCTCTTGATTTTTGTGTAACAGGAGGAAATATTGGCAAACCCAATCTACTGACTAGTATCATCTGAGTTTTGATATTGGACCAAAATCACTGCAGTGTCTAAATAGTTATGATAAAATGTGTTATTTGTCATATGCTGCAGTAGTGAGAGCATGTAGACTTTGAACAAAAGAGGCTCGACATGGAGCATTTGAGGACTTACTTTGCAATAACTGATCAACACAAAACCAGTTTAGGAATGCGCTTGAAGTCATACAGTCTCTATGGCATTCTAAGAATGTGTTGTGTGGTTCACCCTACCAAATGTACTAATGAGATGTAGTATAACAAGACTCAAACTAAGGTTATATGGTTGACAGGAACAAGCGGTGTGATGTTAGCACTTTTACTTTAGTGGAAGGTTAGGAAGATTATTTTAAAATGATACTTCATCCCAAAAGCAATCATTTGTATATCAATCGTGTGCGCTAACATTTTTGAACAGTGTACAAAGAAAGCAAAAAGTGCAGAACATTCTTGAAGAAATTATGTAAACTAAGCCATATTTTAACTACAGCAAAACATTAATTTACCATCTCTGTGCACAATAATCCAACTCCCATGTTTCAACAGTTATATTTGAGCAAAAAGGCATGCGTTCAGGAAGTCTTGAGCTTTCTCCAAAATACAAACAAGAGACTTGGATATACAAGTTGTGCTAGAGTTTGTTAATTGACGTTTTGAAGAAGAGTCGTTTCATGTGGCACCCTCCCATTCACTTGAACTCATCAATACTGTTTTTGGTTTTCCTTTCACTCTGGAGGAATGCAACGCAATGTTATTTCCCAAATTCAAGGTAAAAAGGAGTAAGATATAAAGGATCATTCTTGTGGTGAAGTATTCCTATAACGCTGGAAATCAACGGTACAGAAATGTGACCATACACAGCTACCTGCTCCAGTATAACTCCTGACATTTGGGTACGTACTTTGAGTGGGTCTGTTTGGTGATGTTGCGGATAGTGGCACCTTCCTTGCCGATAATGGCCCCAACAAACTGCGTGGGCACCAGCATGCGCAGCGGAATGTCCGACTGCATTTTGGGCCGGGCACCTTGACCTGGAGAGCCGGAACGAGGGGTTCCACGGGCGTTAAAGCCTCTGCGGCCCCTGCCTGAAGCCCCCTCTGCTGCAGCCGTCTCGTCTGGGATGTACGACACTTTCAGGGCAAAGTTCTCCATCATAGATCCATTCAGTTTTTCCATCGCCCTGGAGAGCATAAAGAGATGTCAGTCCAGAAAACTTGTGAGCAGGTATGATTTAAAAACACAGAAGGCTTTTAGACAGTCACTGCTATGAATGACTTTGCTGCAAAACTCATTTATGTCGTTATCAATGGGAGTATCCAAGGAGAGGGGACATTTAAAACTAAGCGACAAAGAGGTTCAAGCTTCTTAAAAGCACAGTATACTGATCGGCAGCGGCATCAATTCTAGTGAGCCACTTAATATAGCATTCACACTTCATTTACATCTGCCTCTTCAGCCTCAAGAATTAAGATTTATAGTGAAACCATCAATTGCCTGGAGATGTCTACAACCACTTGTGTATGGATAAACATTGTAGTATGATTTATGTACACCAGGGGGCATCATATGGTTAATTTAACCCCCCTCCTTCCTTTCCAACACACACCCCCCCTCCACCTATCTTCATTGCATGTCAAATTAAACTGGACTGTTTTTTGTAAAGAGGAAATCAGGTACACTGCAAGAAGACTGGACCGGGGAGGTGGAGGTCATTTGCAACAAAGAATGCTGGGTAAAGTGAAAAACTTGAGCGGATCCATGTCAGAGACAGACGGATGAGATGGAGGTTAATGATGTTAATACACTGCATGTGCGTGTATGCGTGTACTCACAGACGGGCCTGGTCCTTCGCTGCATATCGAACGTTGACTACTGCAGTCTCTGTGTCAGTGTTTACTGTGGAGGGCACAGCGCAGTCAATCCACAAATTCAGTGATGCAATCTATCAACAGTGGCTACTTCTACATGGCAACACAATTGTTAAAAGGACATTTCAATTTGGCTTTAATAAATAATGCAACTTAAACAAAATTGTATAGCTGTTCAATAACAACAATTCTTGATGCAGTATAAAAAGGTGTTTGAGGCAAGGTAATGGAATAATCTGTTGTTGCAATTGCATTGTTTAAACTAAAGTCCGTATTTACCTTGTTCACAGCTCTCCACTGTTCCATACTGAGCAAGCATACCATCCAAGACCTGAAAGAAAACAACAACCATTATTACTCAGAAACATTGAAAGCTTTTGACCAGAACCTGCTGGTGAGCAGAAGCTCATCTGTGGGAACAGTCCATTAATCCTGGAGCTTTATGTTGAGTTACATGGATACATTAAATGGCTTCTTGTCAACCTCAAATTATTATTTTTCCTCCAAGATTCTTGCATAGTCAAGGTCATTTATTTAAATGTAGAAAAACATTTCTAAAATAAATAATAATTGTTAGGTTCTCAAGCAGACCGCTATTCAACTTGGAAACTTTTGAGACATTTAAAATATTGGCAAAATGATTCAATCCTTTTAATTAAAAAAATAATAATCATGCAAGCAAAAAATGTCGCTTTATTGAAAATGATTCAATAGAAAAACCCAAACACACTGGCCACCTGACTAAATCTGGAAACCACAGGATTTTAATTCATAGATCGTGATCAAATGTGGGCGAGAGGGGGAGCGAGGGTTCCAAACTAAGCTAAGACATCCAACCATGCTCAGTTTAATCTGAGGCCACACCCCCAAGAGCTCAACCCCACTTTTTAGCCAACAAGGCTGCATCCCTGCCCCCTACTCCTCCAACCCACCAACCATCCAACCTCCCGCCTCCCTGCCATCTCCGCTGCCCACCATTGGCTGCTCCTGAGCCGATATGAGTTCCCTGAAGCCAAGAGTTGCCGGCTAATGACTGGATTGTCTGCCTGTCCGTCTAACAAACCCAGCCAATGGGAATCCAGGCCACTCAGGAAAGGGTGGGGTACATTCCAGCAGGAAGCAGGGGCTGGGGGAGGGGTGCGAGTTCATGCTACACATTCTGTGAATCGGAGCACATGGAAGGGAAGGGGAAACAGTCCAGGCCCACCCACCCACTACAGCCTGTGAACACGCCACTACTCTCGCCACTATTCTCTCGCTGCAGGGCTACACACCATGACCCATTGTCTTATCTACCTGATAAGATACATACAAGGCCTTTGCATCAAAAGAGCCTATTATTTTCTGTTGCTCCATTCTTCTTACCCCTCCCCCGCTGAGGCGGAGAAACCTCCATGTCACCTTTTGAAAAAAAGCAAACAGCTCTCTTGCTACATGCTTGGAACATGGGTGGATCTGCAGTTGAGGGACATGCGTAGGCAAAGCGAGACCACCATTACAAAACACTGAGTCTGTCCGTAGCCATTTGATCATACTGAGTGAATCAGGCTGAAATCTAAAGCCATGTATTAACCGCCCAATTCAGAACAATACTGAACAATTGTGCAATTCAATGAGAACATTCTTAGTAGGCTTGCATAGTCTTTAGGAGGAGAAAATGTAACTGAACGAAACTACAGGCTCACGCCATCACAGCTAAACCTCTGCAGAGGGAAGGGGGGGGGGGCAAATCACGTAAAGCTGTGTTACAGCCACATGAGATTCAACATGGAGGTTAATGCTGCCATGTTGAGTTTGACAAAAATGATTTAGGAAAAAAGAGGTAGTGACATTTGTCAGTTAGCTTTAAAAGTGGTCAAATTAAAGTCTAGATGAATTTACGTCTGCGTAGTAAATCAGTGTGTACTCAAAGAAGAATTTGTAGCCAACACTGAACAGTACAGTTTTAGATTAAATGTTCATCAATGCAAAGGAAAAATAAATACATTGCAAGGACACACTTCTGTTGCTCAACACCAAGTCAGATTAAGAGGCCACTGCCTTATTGGTGAAACGACACATTTTACAGCAGAATCATTCAATTGATTTAGTTATTTAGTTTGTGTCACATCTTTTTTCTTTTGACCCTTTAGGAAATACCAAACAAGAGAATTGCCTTTGAGATTTAACACCGACCTTGAGTGCCAGTGTTACTGCTTAAATTCACTTGAACTCCTCTGTAAAACATCCAACCATCTATGCACCTGAGCACAGTTTAGCATGACCAATTCAGACATGGTTTGCTGATGAAAAAGTGTGATTTTGCCTAACATTTTTCCAAGATAAAGTCAACAAAATATACTCAGCTTTCACAACTATCAGAATTATAATATATATTGTTTATTTTTACCGTTTGGTACCTTGTTTGTAAATGAATGTGCAAACGGACACAAAAAGGGCATTGTATAAACTTGTGTTTCAGATGTATTGTTTCTTAAAATGTAAAAGTACTTTTGTAGAGTTTATACCATTCTACTTCACCCGTAGAAATACATCACAATATATTATTGAACAACATAGACTATTTACTTAAATTAGGATACAGTTCAATCTCAAAACTCCAAAATTATAATCTTTGGACATGTAATGTTTCTAGCACATCACTTGATTGTAAACTAATTGTAAAGGTACAAAAATATACAAAATCACTTAATTTCCAGACTAATTTCTTCAACAAAACACACTAAAGAACCACATAGTACACTACATTATTTTTTTTTAAAGAAATATCTCTTTGCCCCATATTAGGATTAACACACATGCCTTGGCCAGGGGGCCACGTCAAACCCCCCGTTGTGTGAAATGTTTCACAACGCCTCAGACAATACACTTGGTTTATTTTTATTTCATTACCAGGAGTGTTTTTTGCAAGAAAAGACAGTGTGAAGAGGCATTCACTTTCAAACTAGCACATGTGACCATAACAGCACAATTAAGTCCTGTTTGCCATTTTAAGAACATCTGATCCTGTATATATTAATAATTAATTAAAAAACAATAAGCTTTTTCAAAATGCTTTAAGAAACAAGCCTAGTAGGTTGCAAACACATTCAGCAATACAACACTACAAAGATCATGTAACTGCTTAAAGTTTCCTCGTGTGCCTGACTCGGCCAAACCCTCGAGACCTTACTCTTTTAATTCTTCCAATAGTTTGTTCAGTAATGCCAAGCTCCTGTGTAGCAAAAATTGTTTGACTTCAACCTTTAGAAATCACTTTGGTATTTGAAGTCATTTCTGCTTTATCAAATCACAGTTCCACCCACTGGTTGGTGCGTTAGGCCTGACCTTATAGCTTTGTTAAAATAATTATAAAGAACATGCTTAATTGACACCCAAAAGGTAAGCAAGGTGACTCCAGAGTCCACTAAATGCCCAATAATGCCCCGCCCTGGAACAGTTAGCAGCCTGTTAGCACTCACCTCCCACTGCATGTGAGGCGGGATGTTCCTGATCTGCATCTTACAGCTCCTGGAGAGAGAACAAGGGAGGAAGACGGTGGGGGATGGATGAAGGAGGAGGGAGATAAATTGATGGGAAAAGAGAGAAGGGAGAGAAGAGGAGAGAGTTTCAGTTAGTAGCCGACAATACCAAGAGCACAATGAAAAAATAAGGCATTTTAATTGAAAAACAAAAAAGGTCTTCATTCACTCCATCTAGCAAGAAAGACCAAGATGGAGGAGCAGCAGATACGACTTCTGCTTTAATTCCATTCCCCACCCAGCAGGTGCAATGAGACACCCTGGGGAAAGCGTGAGAGGAAATGATGGAGAAGAAAAAAAGGGCAAAGGGGCGATTTGGAATCTTAACTGTGTGGCCTAAAATGTAAACCTTTTTTTTTTTTTTTTTTAAACCCATACCACACACTTTGTCCTAAATCACAGATTGTGTCACAAAGTGCGAAGGAGATGTGAAAGCAAGCATAAAGGTGAGAGCAGAGGGGAATACAATTCAAGTGGAAAGAGAAAGATGCATCTGAAGGTTGTGTATTTGCAATTTTAGAGTCAATCATTTGCTCTATAGCATTGCATGATGAGGTTTCAACCGGTGCAAGGCCCAACCCCACTCCCAACTACAACATACACTGATCAAGGAGTATCAGCTGCTGTAGAAAAAAAAGCGTCACACTCAATGGCAAGAATCTAAATTGCGTGCTTGTTTTTAGAGACTGTGAATACAACAGAAGCAAGTGGAAACCAGTATTAACAAAAAGGTGCTGTTGTGCCCCGTCACTAGAATCAAACAAGGACAAAATTCCCAGATTCATCCTGTTAGCTTGAAGGTTCCCAAATGTAGTTACAAATTGTGGAAAGCATCATGAGTATACTGGGTAAATGTGGAGGTCACGCAGACAAGGAACTTCTGGATCAATGAGTCACAGAGTTTTACAAATGTGAGAAAAGCCCTGGCCACTCCAAAGTCCGCTGCATGTGGATACGAACAGATCTAAAGGAACAAAATGTACATATGGCTGGGAGGTGAAGCATGAACACACACAGTGGAATCACAAATCCTGACCCCATCCCATTTTCACACCAGCCTTACGCTCACAACACATGGACCTCATACATATGCATCTCATTTAAACTACTTTGTGTGTGAACATCTGTGTAAAAACTTTTTTGCATCTCTTGGTCTTTTCTCAAAAAAATATAAAAAGAATCACCGAGCTCATCTTGTAAAAACAGCTCCACCGTTACTGGTTGTTTTCTAATCTGCTGGTGAGAAATTACACCATGCAGCATTTTTAAAATGTCTCCTAAGTGAATGAACTCTCATAAAAAAAAAGGGTGCATAAGAGTTGCATCTTTTGTTACTTTCCATAAAATATCACTGAGCTGTTAAAAAATACTTAAATGCAGCTCATCCTGTACAAACAGCTCCGCTGCTATTGGTTGTTTTCTAATCTGCTGGTGAAGAAAATACACCATGCAGTATTTTTAAACTTATTCCTTAGTAAATGAACACATTTTTTTTTTTTTTAAAGGGTGCATAACAAAAACGCAATTTATTTAAAACTCACACAACGACATCTACGCAGTAAAAGCATACTGCACATGTGCAACAGGGGCCGCAGTAGTTTACATTCCTCAGTTTAGCCTCTAAGACCTCAATCAAGCCAGCAGCAGTTCAACAAACATATTTATTTTTGAGACATTAGGAAACTACTTTATTCTTAATGGGCAAATTGTAAAGAAAATTCCCAAATAACTTCCAAGAGGAATTCCAGCCCTTTCCGGCCCACTGTGCCATTCCTGGCTGATCCGGCCCCCTCTCCCCACACATTCTGTATGCTCTGCATTGCGGTGGGAACGCCATGCGAAATGTGCAAATGCACCGAGCACTTCCACTCGGATTAACCTATAGCTCCACACACACAGAAGAAGTCAGCCAGGGTATAGGGTGGGTGGGGGTTGGTATACATTCCCTAGTCCAAGCCTTTGATTTGGGGAGGGGGGAGGTGTGTGTGAGTGGGGTGTGGTGTTTGTGAGGGTGGGGGGGGAGGACTAGTCCTGTTTCAGGCAAGGGTAACAAGGGCCCTCTCTGCCCTGTGGGGGTGGGGCCCTGTTACCATGGACACGGACAAGTCCACTGACAGGAACATGTAGCGCCGGGGTTAAAAGTGGGAGGGGGAGGGACAGGAGTGACTAGGGTTGGCTCGTCATGTGATGGCCAGGAGGAGGCCGGACTCCTTATTTACTTTTAAAAATTGACCAATATTCAACATGTTCGCCCGCTTCCTTAGCCGCGCAGCTCAAGCCTGCAGGGTGGACGTAATGCACACAAGTAGGTGTATTAAAAACACATAAGCATGCAGCCATTTAAGACAAGAGCATTCACAATGAGACTGCATCACACCTGTATTCATTTCCAAAAGCTCACTGAAGCACTCAACACTATCTGGTTTGGGACCTGTGCTCAACGCCCATCCACAGATATCAAATATTCAGTATGCAGAGGTTCTGAATGACTGAACTCCACAGCCTGGTTTCCGCTGCCTTCTCACAGGCCTTATATGCACACTGACCCAATAAGCTAAATTCAACATTTGGATAGATTGGCTATTCCCACAGATAATTCCAATGAGTTGAATAACAATTATAAATTAATCAACTTCTGCAAACACTAATACACAATTGTGACTGCTACCTAGCTACATCAAACCATTTTATATACACGCAAGAGGAAGCAAAAGCACAATGTCATTCTGATTTGACCTTGCAAGAGGAAGAGTCTTTTCTTGCAGTCTGGGTAAAACAAGGGGCCACATTCATAATTCTCTGGCACCCCAAGTCTCCGTCCTAAATCCCTGTTTCTGCAGGTGGGGCCTCACTGTGACCCCATGACCTGATATTCTTGAAATAAGAGCCAGGAGCCTTTTCTACAAACAGCACTGATACGATCTACACTATTAACTCAATTTATGGAGTTTTTTATATAAATAAAAAATATATAGCTGATATAACAGTTGTTACTTTACCCCACTCACTGAGGACATTAGCTACACTATTGTATGTTCTTAAATAAAGCATATAGTTATTCACCTATGGATAAAGTATGTTAAACAACATTTTCCCCTCTCTTTGGGGCCACTCTTCATGCAGCCATGCCATTTCCTTTCCTTCATGTGCATCTAGGGATGGGCAAGATTTAAAAAAATGTATCCAACAAGGGGAGCATAATCTGAGGAAGTGTTCAAAATATGACACTTCTGCAACTTGTTTTGCTACCAATTAATTAAATAAAACATTTAGTGGTCAATGATAGACTGTTAGCCAGAATAAATACGTATGGCCCAGTTGCTTGCATTAACAAGCCGTTTAATATACTTGTAAAAAGCTGAATCAAAAGTGAAACTATAAACAGGTCCCTTTAAACAGTTTTACCTGAAATGTAAATACACCTGGACGATTCTGATTGATTATTGGTTTCTTATTGTACCTGTACATGCTTTCTGGGTAAAAAATAAATTAAAGTTCAAGAAATTGTCAGGAAAATGTGGGTGTCCACTTTAAATGCCAAATACAAAAAACAAAGCCAAGTACAGCACATTTTCACAACAAAATATAAATGTCTATAAGATGGCTGAAATATTTAATAACTATAATATTACTAACACCATGCAATGCTGGACAATATTTTTTCAATTAACTGAATTATGTTGGATTAAACTGCTAATACACAGATTTCCTGAAGTCACTATTGAATGCAGCAGCAGATGTTTTTGCTAGTGAACTGGACATATTTTTATTGGGGGTTTTGGCCACGTTCATGACAAATTTAAAAAGGAATGCACATCCAAATGTTTGATTACATGTTGCATTATTGCACATGTGAAACGCCACACTGCTCAGCATGTTATTCTACACATTTCTATCTTCACGAGCCCCACTATAACCACCTTCATCTGTCTGCTGCAGCACTTCCCCTTGCTGAAAGGTTCAAAGGTTAAGCCATTGCGATTGGCCGAGCCCCCAGTTAATATTTGCAGGTTGGAATGCAAAGAGGGGCCCCAGTGTCCAAGTGTGTAGCCCAAACTCAGAATACTGTTCCCATTGACTACTGCTATGTTCCATGTTGTAAAGGGAGGGCACGTTTTACTTTTTAAAGTGTGGCTGAAACTCGACTCTGCTGCTGCCATAGCCACCACAGCAGGCACTAAAAAGACAGAGCAACGTCACCAGTTTTTTCGTTATCTGGAAAATGTGTCTCAAGATTTGACGCAAAATTCTCATTTAGCTTACCTGGTTTATTTATCCAAGGCACCATTTAAACCAGCAGCCTACAAAGTGGCCAGGAGCTTGTAGGTGGAACATTTTTTGAAAAATATATAAATCTCTGCCATGTCCTTTTTCACCTCAAGGTACTTTCTATATCAAATAAACATATAACAGTCCACAAGCCTACGTGTTTCCTCCTCGCCTTTCTGATTTCAAAACGTGACTTTGCGTAAAACAGCAAATCATTCAATTACACTTTAAAAAGCGACTTAACCATGCATATTACGTGTAACACCTTTAAGAAAACATTACACCAATTACCAAGTGAGAGACGTTTTAATTGAAATCAAAAGAATTATTAATTATGGCCGAATTGCGTCACCACCTAAAAACACGCATACAATGTCAAAATGCCTCAGTATTTTTACGTCCTCGGCACATTACGTAGACCCTTCACGGAAATACATTTATATTTCACTTTTTAGGTAATAGACGACTGCCCAAGTGTGGCTACTGGGCTCTAACTCTGAAACTAAGGTTTTCCGTGACTTGGGCCCCAAACCTCCCATTCCACTCGCGTTTGGGAGTCCATCTCATGCAACAGCAGCACAATGTGCAGAGGAGGGCGGAAGCGCAAGGCAGGCAGGGAGAATGACGGGCAGATCCTTCTCAAATGGACGACTCCACAAGGCCCGTGCGCCTCAAACACAGCCTGCACACATTTCGACCCTGCACATTCAGGCTAATCGCCCCGAAGTTGGAGCTCAAACAATACCAAGTACTGAACATACAATATGTGCGAGCGAGAGAATATAGGCTGGTTAAAACCTTAATGCACGACGGTTTTAGGAGCACTCCACACAGTCATGGCGAAAGGAGGGAGTACACCACCATACGCCCCTTTCATTTGACCCCAGAGCATTCAGGGGGGAACAAAACACACCTTATTTAAGCTAAATTAAAAAAATACTGAATTAAAATTGCACAGCAATGTAAACACACATTTCGGAAAAATATTAAAAAAAAGCTCATTGAAGAATAGGATAATTGGGAGGACAAACAACTGCAGCTCCCACGAGTTGAACCAAAAAGCAGTAGGCTATATTGTAAAAACGACCTACCTTTGACTTTTAGGGACCGAGATCGCCACTTCGAGAACTTTCCCAAAGAGTTCTTCATTACCTAAAAAAACAAAACAAAAAGACACAACTATTAGTGTCATTAATCATTTGACCTCCTGAACAACAGGCCTCCTCTCCTGCTCGTGGAAATACATTCAGGAGTATTTTGCTACTCATTTTGGGTAGTGGACTTAAATCTAAACATGCATATGTACACAATGTAGTATAATTCAAGTATAATTTGAAACTAGCAACACAAAAGGCAAAAAAATGTGCGAGCCACTACACGAACCAGCTAATACGTAAAATGATACGAGTTTATCTTAATTCTTACGTGTTCCGTTGTGAGTAGGCCTTACTATAATTTAATAACAAACCATGAGACGAAGTGAATTATTTACAAAAGCAGATAGTCGTTTGGCTCAGTTAGTTGGCCTACATTTGACCAACACAATTAAACCACCTGGTGTGTCAGCATGGGCGAAATGGCTTCACAATGTAGCAAGTTGTGGCCACAAGAGAAGGCCTATAGTTTGGAACCTGGACGTGTATGAGAGTTCAAATTGAAGCTTATAAAAAGCAGCAACACACTACGGCTTCTGTTCACAATCGTGCCAAAGTGAGCCGTTAGATAAAGCCCACAATGAGGTTCACTACACGGCGTCCACAGCCCGCTGCCTGAACGCCACACACAACAGGAAAGCCTCGGTATTTCTTTCTTGTCCCCCCATAATTGGGTTTACTCGACCAGTTTATCAAGTAACACATTTCACTCGAACCCATGGCAGCTATTTTTTCTGAACCCACAGTGTCAAAAGGCCAAGTAACGGTTGTGCGAGAGAAAGAAATGGTTGCATACACCCCCACCCAACAGGACTCAAGTAAAAGCAATCTTCATACAATTGCAGCAGTTGAGTGCGTCTTTCGAATCACCACTTTTTTACAATTTTATTTAACCAACATTTCTCACCTGATATCCTTTCGATGGCCAGGTTTGCTGCTTTCTCGTCCGGGCAATCCACAAATGCATAGCCAGTTTTGACAAGAAACGGACCACTGTGCGGGATCTTCAAACGCTCAAAGATAGTTTCTAAGTCCTCCTCGCTCGCCTCAGCGCTCACGTTGCCAATGTATAGCTTATTCATGTTTTGCGCCGAAAAAGGGACAATCTTTACGCTGAGGGAGAGATAGTAGTTTGCTCTCACGGATGTGCAGTGTTTTGGAGTAGCCTAAATCGCCGATACTACTACGGAGAGGCTGTGGCGTGCTTCCCGTCGTTCAAGCCACAGATAGATTTAAACTGGCAGCCTCACTGTGCGTTCGCTCTCCCTCGCCCCTCTGTCTCTATCGCGCAATAAATAAATGCTCAATTATTAATCTCGTGTCTCCAAACGATGGCGCGTTGGGTGAAAAGGAGGAGAAACTACTTTGTGTCTTCCTCCAAACCCCTTGGCAAAGAGACAGAGAATGTCACACACGGTAAGGCTGGCGCCCGCCTCTAAGTCTAGATCCTAGAATAAGAAGAAGAAGAAGGGGGTGAAAAAAATCCTCCGCTATTCCGGCTTTTTTGAATGAGCCACGTGTTCAAACTACAAATCAGCCCACACGTGAGGAATCCCAATTGCTCAATTAAGTGTTTGGGATTGGGGAAAATTGCACGGGAATCTGGGGTGGGGACAGCAGAGGGGAGTGGATAAAAAAGGAGGGGAAGAGTGGATTGGTGTTGGGGAAAAAACCTGGCGAGCTATGTGCGTAAAGGGATTCCGTGAGAACCCAGTGTATCTTTACTAGAATCACATTCGTGTGCCTTTCTCTGCAAACGCTCGATTCTTATTGGTCGGCGGAGGAATAGTAAAACGGCAATGCGCTCATGCAGGCCCATAGCAGGAACGACGCTGATATTGCGGGGGCTTGTGCGCACGGCTGTGCTAAGTGCGCTGTACTGATGACACAAGAGCAGGAAAAGGGGGTGGGGCCATTCATAAATGATGTTGCACTATATTGTTAAATTGAAAGCTGGGCACATTTAATTTTAAGAAACTTGACTAGGGAGGGCCCTGCGCCCCTCCTCGGGCCTCCGCGCAATATGGGAATGACACGTACTACTATCCACATGACGGCATCCATCTTCTCCAACTAGAGTGGAGCCATGCCCTCCCTGATCCACAACTCAAAGTCCAATTGCAGGCCCGATTTTCCTGTGGCCACACAAAATAAATCAAGGGGGGTGTCTTTGGGCGAGATGAGTGCTTCCCCCCCCTCATTTGTTTTTATCCAACTTTCAGACCGTTTGGCACAACGAGGAGGCGTTGGCCATGCGGGCCGAATGCACATGGCGAATCCTCTCGGCTATACCTCCGGCATGGATCTGCATTCACTGAGAGAGGGAGGGGTCTCCTACACCAAAGTGCCCCTAGCGTCCTATGTAACGTAACGCACAGCCCAATTCAATAATGTGTGGAATCCATGTCAGAAATAGTACACTAGTGTTCATAAGATCTTTTGTAGATCTCAGGCGAAGGCCGATAGATTACGCATAGGTCACTCAGCAAGAAAAGTGCCACATTTACAGGATAAATGTACAGCTGAATCCGTACCTGTTGATGGCACAAATGTCGTTACGCTGTCCAAGCAAAACTGCCTTCAATTTTGCAACACCAAGAACCACAAACAGAAAATAAGCTTACAATTTCGTGTTCATCAAATCTTACAGTTGATATCTAAAGGTAGGCCTATAAATATAAAGAAAGTGATATATTTAGAATTAAAGATCTGGCGTAGGCTTTTTATAGTATCTAACTATCTATCTATCTATATTTCTATCTTGAAGCCAGTTTAAAAGGTACACAAATGAAACTAGGGCAGTCTGATACAACCGTCCTTCAAAAAATTATTTGCTTTAATGGTTAGTTTCGAGGTTGCATTTATGCTGTTTAACTGACTTGATAGGCTACTCAAGGTGGACAAAATGTTAAAAACACTTCTTAGTGCAATGTGGCCCTACTTCAACTGCACTAAAAATGTAGTTGCCAAAATATCAGTTAAGTAGAATCAGCACCTCTGACTTTTATACACTTCATGGAGGTAGAATGTATTGCACAGTTGTTGCAAAGGACTGCATTAGATTCAGATTTGTGAACTGAGTTTATATTTGTACTTATACTTAGATCCTTATGTGAACTCAATCCCAACATCTTCAGACCAAGGCTTTAGGCTACATAACTGCTTAGGTATGCTTAACACACAGAGCATGTGACAGTATCATTTATGAGGTGTATCATCATGTGTGTGTATAATTTAGTTCCTATAATTAGAGTTATCACAAATTAGTCATTAATGGCAAATCAAGAACTAAATTGGAATTGTAGCCAGAAATAAACTAAAAACGATATTATCATATTAGTTTTTTCTGGTATTCATTGCAACCTACATATATCATTTGCTAACAGAGGTGGGAGAAGTACTCAGATCTTGTACTTAAGTACAAGTAGAAGTACCAGAGTGTAGGAGTACTCTGTTACAAGTAAACGTCCTGCATTCAAAATGTTACTAAAGAAAGTATTATCATCAAAATATACTTAAAGTAAAAAATACTCATTATGCAATTAGCCCTTTTCAGAATAATATCATATGTTTTGATTATAAATATTGATGTATTATCAAAGCTGGTAAAGGTGCAGCTAGTTTTAATCACTTTGTATACTGCAGGGTGGCTTGTGAATGTACTCCAGGTGTAACCAACATCTTATATAACTGTTGATTATATTTCACATCATTAATACAAATCTGCAAAGTAACTAAATATATTAAATAAACGTAGTTGAATAAAAGTACACAATATACCTCTGAATTCTACAAGTACAAGGCTATCAAAATGTTACTTAAGTAGAGTACCTGAGTAAATGTACTTACACCACTGTTTGCTAAGTAATTTACTTTGAACAGTTGGAGTCTGAAATGTAAACTGTATTTCACCAAGAAAAGAAAGTGATGTGAAGTTTAGGTGGGAGTAACCTTCCCTGCAGCCCTGCAATTGCCCCTGCAAAGAGCTATGCTTTGAGCTGAAATGATAGTACTGTGTCCCTGCAGTGTTTGCTAATGAATAGGCCTAGGTGTGCATGCTGGTGTAAGGCAGGTTACAAAGGGAGTGTTGGTTTAGTGGGCCCTTCAGCCTCTAGCTCAGGCTGGGTCCATGGCTGTCTCAGTTGGTTTACTCCTCTGCTTCTGATCAAACACACAACGCTCTCTGATTGGTCGAACAGGCTGACCAATCAGAGCGCTGCAGCCCCGCTCCGTACTACTGCTGCTGGCTCGGCCTCAACGCGCTCATTCATTGGCTCCTCCGCGCGACTATTCTATATGAATCAGCGCGCCAATTATGCATTACTCCCCATGTTTCCTCTACTGGGCTTTGTCATATGCCCTAAAGATACAACGAAACGCGAAGCAGCAGCCAATTCGGCAGGACTTCCATAACTCTTTTCAACTGTTCAACAAGTGTAGGCTGTGTTTACATACAGGCTCTGCCCCATAAATAGGTTAAATTATAATGGAGTAAAATACTGTGTTTTAAATTCAGCTTTAAGTCCCCTTCTTACTTTTAATAATGTATTTCACCTACAGGAGTCTCTCAATAAATTCTAACTCAATGTTTAGATCCATATCCTTTTTGCATTGACCCATAGGTTTTTAATAAACATGGACGCTTTCCGTCGGCCTAGATAGGCGCATACCATTTTTTATAACCTGGTTTATCTGGCTTTAATGGTATTCACTGCAAATCGAATAACGAATCGCACAGCAGGAACTGTGTCTGCATACTGGTCCTGTGTGCTGCAAACAGCACCTTATAGATGCATTTGTACAGTATATAACTGGAGACAGCAGTCATGTGAGTGCTCGCCTGACTGTCGGTTTAAATGAATTGATGCATGGCTGCAGTCTGTCCGTGTGTGTGTGTGTGTGTGTGTGTGTGTGTGTGTGTGTGTGTGTGTGTGTGTGTGTGTGTGTGTGTGTGTGTGTGTGTGTGTGTGTGTGTGTGTGTGTGTGTGTGTGTGTGTGTGTGTGTGTGTGTGTGTGTGTGTGTGTGTGTGTGTGTGTGTGTGTGTGTGTGTGTGTGTGTGTGTGTAGGCTCTGCAGGGGGAGAAGTGAATGTATCGCTGAGGAATGTACAGAAAGTCTCCCCGCCCCCAGTTTCAGGACTCCTCGCTATTCCATAGGGGCAAACTGACACAAAGTTTCAGACTAGACTACATCCTATGTGGGAAGATTTCTGTGCAGGAAAAAGAACTGACAAAATCGATCTGGTTAAACATAGTCGAGGGTATTTCTTGAAGGGAAGGAGAAGGGGTGGTCGGATTGTTTAAGTAAAACGCATAGCCCAACTTTAAGCTGCTGGCCTCACTCCAAGAGATAGTATACGTCGCCAAGCGCAAGGGTCTTTCACAAAACCCTTTAGGCTCATTCAATGGACTCTGTTTTCCGGTGAGATTGCTTTATTTCGTATTTATTGCTAGGCGATTCTAATCTATAACAATGTTTTTTTTTTCACTTGAGTTGAAAGCATTAAATCCTCTGAATGACCGCTTCGGACAGAGTCAGGGAACACAGTGGTGAACGCCATGTTGAGGAGAATCTGGAGCCTCTACAGGAACATTTAGGCTACTGATAGAAACAAGGTTCTTATCGATGTAAATGTAAGGTTTTTTCTTATGTCCAGACATGTGTTTCCTATTTACATCAAGGAGTTTCATTCAGGCTCCAAAACACCAAAAATAGGATGTGTTTTCTTCACAGATTCTCCTGTGTGATGACACCCTTCATCTCATTAGAAAATGGCGGTTTGTGCCCCCTCAAAAACACATGCCAAGGAAGATTCATTTTTAACAGTAAACAACGAGTTAATAAAAACTGCTGGAGTATAGCAATTGTACACATTTTAAAGCCAAAATCTTTGCTATTTTTAAAGAATAATTCAAGTGGAGGAAATGTAGTATTTTCTCGTTTTCTCGTCACGTAGGTTTTTCAAACAAAAGTGAAATCCTGGAAATTATTATGAGAAAGTAGACTTAATCTTTATCAACAGTAACAGGACATATTATTTAAATGAGTGGATATTTTAAAGGCAATTATTGGAGTCTTTTTTTTTTTCAAAACAACTCTAAAAAGCTATTAATAGCAGGCAAACATGTACCGTCATGCCATTGTTTGGTTCCACTAGTGGCAAAATCTTAAGTCAAAGTATTTGTTTAATTACAAGTAATTTAATTCAACTCTGCACACACTGCATTCGACATACTGCAGAGTGTGTAAACTGAACAGATTTACATTTTGATTTGTCTTTATTTTACATTATTTTAACAAATATATATTTTTGTAATACACATCTGTTGAATTTTTGTTTTTTTATATCTAGAAATGACTGCATTTGAATAGTTTTTGAGCATTTGTTGAAATTAACACCACATGTTGAGGCAATGTAAAAAGACTGATGAGAAAGTGGTTGTTT